GCTCCGCTCCCCCGCGGCCGCGCCGCCCGCGCCCCCCGCTCTCCCCGCGGGGCGGGAGGGGCAGCTCCGGTCGGGGGGGCCGCGCGGCACGGAAGAGCGGGCGCCGCCGCACGGCCCGCCGGGAGTTGTAGTCCGCTCCCCGCCTCCCGCCGCGCGGGGCTGCGGCGCAGGGACTGCAGCTCCCGCCATGCGCCGCGGCCCCGTCCCCGCACAGCGCGGCTCTCCCGCACCGGCCCGGCGCGACCTGCGGCATTCACCCCTGCCCGCCTCCCCCCGCACACGCAGCTCCACAGCCCGAGCACGCCCTCCCCGCGGCAGTCCCGGCTCCCTCGCAGCCCGCCACGAGGGCCGGCCACGGCCTCACCCCCTCGCCAGGCGGGTCGGGCAAACTGCGTCACACCCTCCGAGCGACCCCAGCCCTCCCCGGTGCGGCTTCCCCCACCCGTCCCCGCCCCCTCACGTTCAGCCCCCGCTCCCCGGGGGTTGCGCCGAGGGCCGCCCCGCGGGGCCCCCGCAGCCAGGCGCACACGCACCGCCCCCTCCGCGCCGGCCCCGCACCCGCGGGCCCGAGTCCTCCCCCGGCACCGGGAGCCCCGGCGGCACGTTCGGCCGAGCCTCGCGGGTCAGGGGCAACAGCAGCCGCCCCCCGCCGGGTGGTTTTTACCGGCCGTGCGGGCGGCGCGGGTTGCGGGCGGCGGGCGCAGCTCCGGCGCTACTCACTGACAGCGGCGGCATCCGAGTGCATTTTCGAGCGGCGCTGCACACGCTGCCGGCCCGGCCCGGCTCCGCTCCTGCCCCGCTCCCGATCCAGAGCCCGGGACGGACACCGCCGCCCCGCCCCCCGCCCGCGCTCATTGGTCCGCGTTGCCGGGAGAGGCCGCGCATCCCGCCCTTCTATTGGACCAGGTTCCTGCCTCTCTCCCCCGGCCCGCCGCGCACCGCCCTCCCTCCTTCCCATTGGGCTCCAGGCTGCGCTCACCCCGCCTCCCTCCGCTCTGATTGGGCGCTGCCGCTGCCAGTTTTTACCGGTCTTTAAAGCGCGTGCAAAGTGCACCACTTTGTGTCACCCGCGGCTCTGATTGGCTGCAGGGGCCAAGGGCCGCGCCCACGCCCTGACACGATTGGGTGAGCGGGTCAGGGGGCGGGCCCGGGGCGGGAGGGCCGGGCTGGGCGGCTGCTCGGCTGCTGATGCCGCCGCGGGATGCGCTCAGCACCCGCTGACTTAGAGGCATTTCCTGATTTCTCCCATCTCGCTCTTCCTAAGGAGAAAAAATGGCAGGCTGCCGACAGCAGCCGAACGCACATAAGCGTCACACTGCTAGAGCAGCAGCGGGATGGGCGGTGGGGAGACCTGCGGCCAAAAGCTGCTCCGTGTGGGACGATGGGACTGGCTCACTGCCCCGAGGTGCTGTTCCCGGTCCTACGATTCTAGCGCATGGAGCCACGCTCCTTTCCCCGCTCCTCGCACAAGGATCTCGCCGCTCCGGAGCCGGAGGAGGAATACAGAAAGACACCCTGCAGGTCATTCCCGCTTAGCATGCGAGCTCAGTATCCTGCGTCCTTTCAGGGATAAACGCCGTCCCTGGCACTCGCTGAGAAGAGACTGCTGGAGCAGCATTTGTGCACAGTGGAGGATTATTAAGGCAGAACTTAGCCATGAAAAAAAACCCACCTTTCCTTTCCTCTAAGAGGTTAAGTTAAAATAAAATCAAGGACTACAAAACTGAAGTAGTATCAGGTTTAAGGTAATTGTCCCTTTGGAGCAGTGCATTAGCATGCAGTCCTGAATTTAGTGATCACAGGCCTTTTTGTTTGTTGGGGGGGGGGGTTGTTGGGTTTGGTGGGGGTTTTTTGAGCTTTGTCTTATTCAGTGAACGAGTCAGAATGAACAAGTGCAGACCATTTATTTTGCTGAGCCACATCTTAGGTTTTCAACTGTCTGTTTTACAGAGAAGAGAATGGAGTGCATAAGGAAATGAACCTTCTCTTTGAAAGCTATATACTAAAAACCACATCAGAGCAATAAAAGACACCCTTATCTGAAGTTCCTACTTGTTCACTAACTCCTTAAAATTATTTCTGTAGAACTTCCTGCCTGTATCTCAGTTATTTTCCAATTTGCACCATCTTTTCTTTACCTTAACAATTTTACACTACCACCTCTACAAAAATAATAAAGCAGTGGGAGCACGGTTTCACTTCTTGGGTAGTTCTAACATCCCACATGCCAGACATTCACATATATGCATGTCATCCCAAGCTCTTATACCCAATAGGGGCACCACTGAGTTGCAATTCGTCTGATCTAATTCTGGATTCAGAGCAACAATCCCTTTAGGGATGTCTGTTTGTTCACACTGACCATAAAAAAGCACATAGGCTGCTAGTTCAGAATAAAAAATATTCAAAAAGAAATCTTCTTCCATGCCTTACATAGTTGTAAATTGATACAGATCTAAAGAAAAGTGGCACAGAAAAACCCTATTTGGTTGTATCTGAAGGTAGAAAGGTTTGTATTTTTTCACCCATCTATTTTAGTCTAAAATGAAAAATACTATTTGGCTTTAAAGATATTTCCTTAGACTACAGCTTCTGTAACAACTTTTATTCTTAAATGTAAGGCAATTAGGTTTGCCAAGCAAAAATTCAATATATTTTTGAATACTTCAATACACAAGTATAATCTCTGATTCTTAAAAATTAGATCTGCAAAGAAATCCATAGGGGAACACAAAAGAGACTTTGTTTTCTGCTTCTGCCTGCTACAGGGAATGTATGCTTCAGCAGAAAAGGCTGCCCTGTGAGAGAAAGGCCCATTTCAACATGCACCTTCATTCCAACCTCAAAAAGGTATCAATAATCCCCTTTGTTACCACTAGTTGTAAAGCACTATGCAGATCTCCAGGCTGGCAGATGTTACGAAATCAGGTTGTATTTTCTTTCTGAAGCCTGAGTTTCCATAATGCGGAAATACTTCATTTTACACAGAGCAGATCAATCAAGTCATGGCTGATCAAGCATTTTATTGGGTTGCTTGGCAAGGTTCTGGTACTGCAGGGGCTCCAGGAGTGGCTTCTGTGAGAAGCTGCCAGGAGCTTCCCCCATGCTCAACAGAACCAGTGCCAGCCATCTCCAGGATGGACCCGCCACTGGCCAAGACTGAGCCCATCAGCAATGGTAGTAATGCCTCTGGGATAATGTATTTAAGAAGGAAAAAAATAAGAGTCACTGCACGGAAGTAATTACTATCAGAGAAGAGAGTAGTGATAATATGTGAGAGTAACAGCTCTGCAGACACCAAGATCAGGGTAGAAGGAGGGGAAGGAGGTGCTTCAGGCACTGGAGCTAAGATTCCCCTGCAGCCCGTGGTGTAGGCCATGGTGAGGCAACTATGCCCCTTGCAGCCCACAGAGGACCACCGGGGTGCAGAGATCCACCTGCAGCCTGTGTAGGAGATCCATGCCAGAGTAGGTGGATGCATCCAAAGGAGGCTGTCACACCATGAGAAATCTGTGCTGGAACAAGGTCCTGGCAGAGACCTGCGGACTCGTGGAGAGAGGAGCCCACACTACAGAAGGTTTGCTGGCAGGACTTGTGACCCCATGGGGGACCCACACAGGAGCACCTCATTACTGAAGGACTGCACCCTGTGGAAGGCACCCACGGTCATGCAACTTGTGAAGAATTGTAGCCCGTGGGATGAACTCACACTGGAGAAGTTCATGGAGGACTGTCTTCCCTGGGAAGGACCCCACGTTGGAGCAGGGGAAGGACTCCTTTCTCTGAGGAGAAAGCAGCAGCAGAAACATGCAATGGAGTAACCTCCATTCCCTGAGCTGCTGGGCGGGAGGAGGTAGAGAATCAGAAACAAAGCCCGGGAAGAAGGGAGGGGTGGAGGAAGGTGCTTTTAAGATTTGTTTTATTTCTCATTATCCTGCTCTGATTTTGGTTGGTAATAAATTCAACTAATTTCCCCAAGTCAAGTCTGTCTTGCTCATGACAGTAATTGGTGAGTGATCTCTCCCTGTTCTTATCTCGACCCACAAGCCTTTTGTTATATTTTTTTCTCCCCTTTCCAGTTGCAGAGAGGAGTGATAGAGCATGTTTAGTGGGTTTAGTGGGTACCTGGCATCCAGCCAGGGTGGAACTACCACGTGGACACAGACAGTTTAAGCAGCTCCAGCATCAGCATCTTAATCCTAGCCCTCCTGGCATTCTTTCTTTTGTGACAGTGCAACCATTTGGACAGCTAGATACCAAGAGCAAGACTGTCCCCAGTGCCCCTAAAAAGCAAAAAATCCCAGAACAAGACAAGAAAACGCTGAACTCTTCTTTTGGTTTTGTCCATTTTTTTGTTTTCCCAGTCAGCTGAATATCCTGATCTGGCTCACCACACATATGTGCATGTGCTTCCATCAATACACAGGAGAGGAATAACAAACCATGATGTGGAAAGTGGCAGTAAATGCCAGTCTACACACTGCTAGATCAAACTTAAAACTTCAAATTTTTTTTTTTTTTAGAGGACTGTCACTGTTCACTTTTTTATGTTTGTGTTGCTTTTTTAAATTGATAGCTAAAATGGCAACCACAATTCCAAAAACCCACAAAACTACTGTAGACTGTGAAAAATACTGGTTAACAAGAGAAAGAGGAACGATTTACTTAGTTTTATCTTTTTCACTATCAGAAACATAACGTAGAAGCATCTTTGAGAGTTTCCAGAAGGAAACTTTTTTCCTCTATTTCCAAAGGACATCAGACTCCAAAAGGCTAAAGCCACTGCATTTCTCAAATATCTTTGTTCATCTTGATTGCTTTGCTTAGAAACAAACTTGAACGTTCATTTTAGGCACCAGAATGACAAGCCATCATGTGTTTTCCAAGTCAGAGGGGAAAGGGAATTGTACTGAAAATAAACACATTACCAAAGAAGAATCTGCTGAACATTAAGAAAGCAGATAATGCAGTAACAAAACACAGTACAGGGTATTGTAAGAAAATAAACAAATTGTCTACAAGAAGCCCAGCAGTCACAGTCCTAAATCATTTGTGGATATGAAAAAGTAACTGATACCCAAGTCAACACAAACAGCTTTAAGTAATGCTTCTGAAAAGATTTTTCAGCCTCAGAGTTTCAATAAACACCTAAATTTGAGTTATTCCCGCATGGTCTCAGCAGAACAGTACTAATCAGGGAAAAAAGAGGACCTCAAGTGGCAGAAGGTGGCAGCTGCAGATTATTTGAACTGCTTTTCAAACCGCTATTCACTAAACAGTTCAGGTCATTTTAATTGCAGCGTCCCGTGGACTCATACTATGCTCCCCGTTGAAGTGAAAAGGTCTGTTCTCTTACTCTTGCTCCTCAAACATACTACTCTGGCCCCAAATGTTCTTTTGTAACACCCTGGAAACAAATGTCATTTTACATAGATGAGGAATGTTGATGGCTGATATTTAAAACCCTACATTTGATTTATAGGGTCTTTTTCAACTTCAGTTTGAAACTTTGTCTTCATTCATCATCAGGCAACTCTAAACAGCCAGGCTTAAGACAACAGCATAGAATTTCGGCCTGACCTCTAGAGATGCATCAGAATAACCAGCACCTCTCTCTGAGCCACAAAGCTCCCTCACAGTCAGCAGAGGACTCTGAACATTTGCAGTGTTCTGTTTCTTGGAGACAGGTGGGAACTGGTTACCTGCACACTTAAACTGTAACAACTTGTTTCAGTAACAAAACACCAGTTGGAAACCAAAGGGTGTGTCTAACTTTCTCCCAGCTTATAGCTGTGACACTGTTTCTGGAAATGGGAAATAACAATTTCAGGTGTTTCTTAGCCCAAGAGGTTTGAAATGCAGCTCCCAGACTTCGGAGTGCTCTGTGGCAACACCAAAGCCACTGCTCCTCAAGGTAAGCTTCCAATACACATAGAAATGCCTGAGCCAAGACCCCAAAGCAGGAATATATATATATGTAAGAGAAAACTTGAGTCTTCACCCTGCTGAAGAATACAGTACAATTACTCTCAGAAGTTGCTCTTACACATGTTACCTAGAGTCCCTCTTTTTTATTCTGAGATACACACTGGTAGGCTCCTGATGTACAGCTGTCTCTTCCTGTACATTCCTAGAAACTTAATTGACCTGCACAGAATGTCAGAGGATAAGATTAAGAGTACATATTGTTTATACAGATAAGAATACGTATTTATATACACAGAATACATATTATTTAGAAGTCAGATATATGTAATCTAGTCCTTTTACCACCAGAAAAAGTTCAAACTTATAGAAAATAATGTCTATTTTATACATTTTATCTTTTCATGCTATCTCTGAATGCATAAAGATATCCACAAAGTTTTTCTTTTGTAACATACTATCTTATGAAAGCTGAGATGAACAGAGTATGATTAGAAAACAGGAAGATTGGTAACACACCCCTGCAGCACAACCTGTTCTAGCACATTTCTTTCATAGTTTGAAACATAGTGATTGTTCATTAGAGACACACTGCACATTTTTCTAAACCAGTCTGATACCACAGATTAGGTCAGTGTGCAAATTTATGGACAAATAAGTTTAGTTTTAGCTTCCCAATTCTAATCACAGTAAGAGAAGCAGTATACAAACAGCTTGTGGTCATAGTTTTTCTTAATCATTCTGGTAAAATAATGCAAATGTCAACAAATGCTTGCTACTAATTATATTTGCCTATAGTTTCTTGATATTAAGCCACACAAGGTATGGATACACCAACATTAAATCGCACAAGTGACTCAGAAGAAGAGAAGAAGAGAATATTCAGAGTTTAGATTTTGTCACTGTCCACATGAACCTTTCAAATGGGGTGAACATTCTAAATCCTGTGAAAATCCATCCGAGTATGCTCACAGACTTTGAAGATTACACACAGAGATGACATATAATCTGATCTATTATGCAAGTCATGCTTTGCTATATGACTTCTTGAAAAATAATTATTCTATATTTTAATTGTTAAAAAAATAAGGGGGTTTCAATCTTTTTATATATATGAGTATAATTTCTTGCATTTCACATTAATAAACTGCTCACATTACAAGGTATTCGCACAGTTAGCCTGTGGAGAATGTTAAGTAACATGGCAAGATAATGTTATGTTTTCTACAGGCCGTGGAAAGGCAAAACTGTGGCTGGACGTGTGTCAGAGCCAGCATGAGAGCATGCTGCAAAGAAGTGAGGATACTCAGAGCCACTGTGCAATGTTGGTGCCAGTGTCAGCTGCTGTTGCAGGCTGGGAGGAGGGAGAGACAAGGGCTACTGGTGTTTGCAGAAGAAAATTGCTGAAAGCGCAAGAAAGTCACTCCCATCACTCCAAAACCTAATTTATCCTGTCCTACTGGAAAGTCACAGAGAGAACAAGTTCAGAGGGCTTGTAAAGACAAACACAACAGCTGTAGGTGAGAAATTAGTTCAATAATGGTTGGTTATACCATCACAGATGATGAATACGTAACCACTGCAACTTTTAAATACCTTCCAAATATTCTCTGTCCATAAAGATCAGTGAACAGTTTTAGAAACACAGTCCTAAAAACAAGGGAGCAAAATGATAGGTGACCAGAATAAAGTGACAATGTTGGTGATGACAGCAATTACCTGACTCCACAGAACAAAAAACCCCAGGTAAAAGCACATCCTGTACTTGCTTAAATGGAGAAACAATAAAATTGAGTACGCTGAAGCTGTTCTCAAAAGAACATCGTGAAGAATTAGAGGGAGAAAAAAAATCCACCCACTTTCCTGCAACATATCCTATTCCTTTCAGTTGCAGTATGCTTAGGTATTACTGGAAAGACACACAGCACTAAATACCAAAATCACAAATGCATTTTTCAAGTTGAGTGGGTCGCTTAAACAAATCACCTAACATGTTTCTCACAAGCAGGAAAGTTTCTTTGGACAACACCGAAGATGTCCTCATTGTTTAAGGGAAGGTCTGCACATATACTGAAGGATCAGGAGTCAAATGTAAAAGATATTGTGAAGAGACACTGAGAAGACACAACACTTCACATTATCTTACATGTGCATTAAATAATAGGGAATTCACTGCCTAGGTCAAAAAAGTCCCACTTCTATTTAGTCCTATTAAAGTATAATGCTAGCAAAGGAACAATGCTTTTTTTTATTTGTTTGTTTTATTACAGTTCATTTTAAATAAAAGTTACAACTAACCCTTCTTTCTTCTCAGAAACCTTGTTATGTTGAGACAATTGTTTTTAATTCTTTGGCAGTGTGTTCAGGTAAGTGTCTCACAAAAATAACTATTCAGAGGTACTTTACTCTTCCCTTTGTAAAAGCATTGCAGAGGCTAATATCCAGCTAAAAAAAGATGAAGTTTATAAAAGCCACTGCCTTTTCTCCAGTATTATGAACATCAATCATCCACAAATTGTTCTAATAAAACACATTTAAGAATGAAATGTAGAATAGCAGCAGACGTAAACACTGTTTGAGAAAGTCAAAAATGCACACAATTCAAACACATACTTACAGCATATCTCCCAATTAAAAAAATGTCCTATTCCTATTTTGAAAACCTAAGGCCAAGCTTTTTATTGCCATAGCAGCAGGACTACAAATTGCAGCAAGTATCAACAGGTGACCTACACTATCACATTATTTTGCTTTGCCTCAGTCATCAAAAAGTGTGTAAGTCTGCTGAAATTCCTTGCACATGACTGTCCAGGAGAGGAAAGGGGTCATATCTGGACCTTAAAAAAAGGTGCAGAGACACATTCAACTCTGAAACAGCAGGATGTAGGATACCTTCACAAAAGCTGAAGATCTTATTGCCAAAGCAAGTTCCCACCCTTGCTTTGCTGCTTACAAAGCAGGTATCTGGCCCAGGTAGATACCAGTTTATCAAAATGCAGGCATCTTCCCTCTCTCACAGTGATGGCAACTCATTAAAGAGAAGAGTCACCAACTGTTAGACAGACTTTCATAGTGTTATGCAGCATGGGAACTGCTCATCCTTAAACAACGTAGTCTTTTTGAGTGCCAATTCAGCTTCAAGCAACAAACCTTTCTTGCTGGTCCCAACAGTATGTTATTTTCTCACTCTAATTTGCCTGTTTAAAATATTTAGGAGTGCTCATATGAAAGTGATGAATATGCTCATAATTATGTCCATCTTTATACGATCCAAACCTAAAGAAAAATATTCAACAAAGCAAAACTATTACAACAATATTTACCCATGCATTCAAATCATACAATTACTACACTACTTCTGAATGTTCTAGACAGTTTATTTCAGAAACAGGACCCAATTCTACTTAAATATAAGTCATAATTTATGTACCCTCTCTCACTAGATGTCTTTGAATACAGTGGAGACATTTAATTACACTAATTACATTTATGCCTTAGGCAGTCTATAATTGGAACTCCAGCTGACAAAGGTGAGTGGTACATTTATCTACTTAAATCTCATGCTTTTTAAATTTTTAGTCCTGACTTCAGTGGAGGTATAATTTAAACCCCCATAGTATCAAAATGTCAACAGTGTTGTTAATATTGCACATCTTACTTTTGAAAATTATAGTGAAAATTGTAATTTTTCACACCATATTTAAATCTGAAAGATTTGACAACTGACTATTATGATAGATAGATTTGCAAAAGTCAAATTGAATATGTATTCAAAATATCAGTGCTAAGTAACATTTAAGAGCAGTGCCATTGTATTTCTAAAGAATTGCAGTTAATTGGAAAAAGTTAAACTTATTCCTACAGGCTATATCTTTCCTGCTTACAAGCAGACATAAAAATAATTAGGACAATACTCTGTGCTGAAATTACCTGAGAAAAATCTGAATGTGAATCCTAACTTTAAGTAATGTGGCAAGATGTGCCTAACTTTAGGCAAGTTTCATCATGTGGAAAAGTCTGAGCAAACTCCCATTTAAACAGGAAGCCAGTGACTGAGTGGGAAATAAAAAGTGAGTAAGCTCAACTGTTAGGTGTATATAAGAAAGTAACATATCCTGTATTATGCCTGTTAGGAGTAGTAAATATGGCATTGCTGGAAATAGATATTGCCACAGAGAAGCAATCTCAAACTTCATGACTCTTCTTCCACTGATATTAATATTAGACTAAATACTTTCCTCCATATTTCTATTCCTTATGCAATACCAGTGGAAAAATGACAGCATTCTAGAAAAAAAATAACTTTTTTACATAAAACTAGTAATTTTTATTTTTCAACACATGTAACATACTGCCTCAGGCATCCTCTTTAATTTTTGCTCCAGTTATATGGTATATTTTAAAATGTTTATGCAAAGAGTATTTAATGTACATATTGTATTTTGTCTTCCAAGTAACAGTGTATTAAGACCCCAATCCTCTGAAGTCCTAAGAAATATGGGAGATCTTTCATGATCTATAAAATGAGTCACCACACCACTTGGCAAAAATCCCTATCAAGCAATCTCAGAAATTAATTACCGGGGTAAATAAGCATTACTTTCAATATATGCTATGACACAGCAGATTGATTTTCCCAAGGTGCATGCCAAGTAAATAGAAAAAAAAAATGGAATTACAAATCAGAAGTTCTTGCCTCCTAATCTTTTCAATTTGGTACTGATCAGTGCCCCCCAACTCAAGAAAAATTTTGTTTCTAGACCTCTGTTTTACAAGATGTCACATACACTATCACCTTAATTTCTTATGAGATACACTGACCTGGGATTGAAATGGATGTCCTTAGGAACTTGGCTGGGATCAGTGACAATTCTGTCATTGTCAGTATAGCTATCCACATGATGTGGGATTCTAAATTTGGCCATCTGGACTTCTGAATCACTTAAACCAGCATGAGATATGCGGGCATAACCCAACCTATCAAATATGAGAAGAGTTAGTTTGAAGAAAAAACTCAAGACAATTTCACCACATTCTTAATGCATGTATTTTTTTTTTCCAGGAGTTATTCTTTAACTTACCAGTATAATTTTCCATTTCTGTGAAGCTCACCTTCAAAAAACTGAAAGTGCTCCATGAACACAATCCTAACACAATGTCACGAGTATAAAAACTGAAAAAGCCTAAGTGTTTGAGAATAAGTTCTACAGCTAGAAACTTATTTTTAAAATTACAACTTCAGAATATAAGCTTACCAACTTCTTTCATTGAAGAGATTTCGATATTCAAGAAAGAAACTCAAGCATCAATGGAATGAATAATAAGAAACATTAAGATTGCAAATGGGGGCGGTTTGTTACCCTGTTTTTTTGGTATTTTTTTTTTTTTTTATTCAATACTGTTAAGATAGCAATCAAGTTTACAGGTTTTATTCCTGTGAACACTGCAGAATTTGCACAGTTTATTCAGAATAAGTTTAATTCCATTCTGGTACATACATCACCAAGAGAATGATTTACAAGCAATTTGGTTTTGAAAGATATGGATCTCATAGGTCCTAAGAGAAAAGTGTTTCAATATAGGCTTACAAAGTTAAAGTTTCCACTAAACCCAGCATAAAGATTGGCTGGATTAGATCAGCATTTTGCTTCAAGAAACCCTACAATCATACTTCAAAATGTCTAGCTTCTGTGTCACATACAAATTAGGGCTTAGCCTTCACATTTTAGAAGCTGCAAAGCCAGAGCTTTGGAAAAATGTAGTTTTACATTACCAAAGCAGACTATATCTGAAGACATTTCACACAGAAGGATGAAACCTGTAATACTGTCTTTGCAATTGTATTCAGAAATACACCAATTCATCCTGATACAGTGTTTCACATTACTTCATGATTGATCTGTCTATACATAATTGTTTAGGGATATGAGTCTTCCACAATCACCTACAAAAGAGTATAAAACTGATTACCATTAAGATATTTAAACCAATGAATAAATATCTACTTTAGCATACCTTATTACTCCACGATACATAATATAGCTACACCATCTGTCACTATCTGTACTGTCAATATCCTAGAAGCGAAAGGGGAAAAAAAGTCAAACAAATAAGGCAAATTTTCCCTTAGATAGGCTTTAAATCAGTAATGGGACCAATGTGTAAACATGCTAAGAAAAACGTTTTGCCTAAAACATTGTAATAAGGTAGAAAGAAAAAAAAAACACTTTTAGACAAATCGCAGAACTTTTTGACATCTCCTAATAGAAAACCAAACACAGAGCTCAGTTTTAAAACAAAAGAATCACAGAATTAGAGGCTGAAAGGGTTGTCTGAAGGTCACCTACTCCTAACCCCGTGGTCAACGTAACTTCAAGCAGATTGCTCAGGACCTTACCCAGGTAATTTTTGAATATATCCAAGGATGGAGATTTCACAACTTCACCAGGCCCCTGTTCTAGTGCTTGACTACCCTGACTTTTTTTTTTCTTCTGTTATCTAAATGACATTTCCTTTGTGGCAACTACTGTCCATTGCCTCCTGTTCTTTATTTGAACATGTGCATATTTTCAAGTTATCAATTTAAAATATTATGCTATTTCCAATATATTTTATCTCTAAAGATCTAAAGATGCATTATTTTTACATTACCTTGACATTTCCATTTTCTATTAATTCAGTATAATCTCTGGATCCAGGAGCTGAAGTGATGTACCCTAGAAACACAACTTGCTTAGAGCTAGTCTTCAATAGGTTTGAAACAGCTATCGCCTGGAGTTTTCTGTCCAAGTCCTCTCTGAAAGAAATGGAAAAGATTTTAACACATGTACATTTTAGCTCTGAATCTTTGTGCTATAACCTAGCAAGCCACAAATGAATCTGGTACCATTTTTCTGCTCAGTATTAGAGAGAACAAAAGTTTACAGCAAGCCTAGTGATTTAAAGTTATTGTTACATTTGATAAAAGCCACATGATCATGGTAGATGTAATTAGGGTTCTCTTTCTAACCATTACAAGAACAACATTTTCTATTACTGTTTTGTCTTTAGTACTGATCTCATCACCAGGAAATGTGAATGTACGTGCTTTGGTTATCTCAGGCTTTGCCTCTGCTTGCACTTAAAATTTAACTGTGCACAGTATCATGCATAACAAAGAGCTCACATGCTAACAAAACTTTTATGATGGACAGATCATGGTAAATATAGTCTTAAAGTCTGGTTCACGTAATTTATGAAATATGACTTGAGCTACATCATCCCATTAACTTTACTTAATTATATTTGGCAGGTGTTCTCCATCTCTAATGAAATTTACACAACAGTTACAACATGACCAAAAACGATAGCATAGGTGGAGCCTGGTAAAATACTGCATTGAATCCCAGCCCTTGTCCTTGGGTTTGCCATAAAATAACGCAAAGACAGTTCTCTCTGATTCTTCATATCTATAACTTTAAATAGTTGTGTAAATCATGTTGTGTTCTATGTTTTGGTAGGCTGGGCTAAATACCATTGAGAAAGGGAGCTAAATACCACTGGAATCTGTAAACCCAAGAGAAGACAAGAATTTTAGTGTGGCTATGCTTTATAAACATAGATATTTCTGACTGAAGCAAATGCATTAGGGAGAAAGAGCACAGAAACAGGAGACAAAAAACCCCCAAACATTTAAATAGAAACCTGACCTAGGTATGTGTGAAATTGCCTGCTCAGCTAGTTGCTCTTTCCAGAATTACACCTCTCCAGAAGATGGGATCTTTTAAAAGACACAGGCATGGTTATATTTTCACATTTTAAAAACAGTATTTAAAAACATCCCTAGTTATCCAGTATTCTATAGTCCATGTCATCCTAAGCAGTAGAAGGAAAAAAAAAAGATTAAAACCAAGCAGTTGTGTGCAACATTTAATTACAAATTCATTCCCCTCAAAAACACAATCTAATTTGTACTCATTTCCCATATGTCTCCTCACATTTTCTCCTTCATCTTTATCTCATCTCTCTCTGAGGGGGGAATACAGTGCTATTTTCATCTGCTTTGACAAACTGTTTCTCAGACAGGCAAGTCTAATCACCTGTGTGAGGCATAGAAGGAAATTCCTTTCCAGAGTTCAAATCGGGAGTGATTTCTCACAACTATATTTGTTTAATAAATGGGAAATTTATAAAAAATTTGTAGGTTTGGAGCACAGTTTCTACACTGGGGAAAGAAATGGGATTAGGAGAATTCTTGCTGTTTCCTGAGCAACTTCTTTGTGTTATTATATTCTGCACTCTATCCATAAATTTGCCTCTCCGTGAATTATAACAAATTTAAAAAATAATTCCAAATCCTACTACATAGCCACAAACACACTAGATATTGCAGCAAATATAATAGAAAATAGAGCTACATGGAGCATTCACAAAACTATCTCTTATTAATATTCATTACACACAAGTAATCAAAATGTTTTTTTCAAGAACTGAAATATACATCTTATTCTCTTCCATCACATATTTGAGTTATTGGTATAATTTTGCCTTTCCAAATCCAGAGATCAGATTTCATATTGCCACTTCCATACAGTCAGAAGGACATTGATGGGTATTTTTATTGCTGTTTCAACATCGTGCTTTCTTGGAAGTTTCAGAGTTGTTACTTTTTGTTTTAATAAATATCATTTTTCCATTAACCCTATCTATCTGTAACTGCAACTATCTGCACTCATTGTGGAATATAGTAGATCTATTCCATATTCATAAAGTCAGAAGGATGCTATCCTGCACTGAGATGCATCTCTAGCCCTATCATTTGTTGTGACTTTAGAACGATATCTTTAAATCCCTAGTAATTCAGATAGTAGGCTCAGCTGAGTTTTGCATGACACATTTGTCCTGTTTAAAAAGTACTTCAAAATTTTAAACCAGTAGTTATGTCACAGTATTTCCTCAAGTGTGCCTTGCTAGAACCAGTATTACAGCGGCATATTTAGAGGGTACAGAAGAAATCCCAGAAAATCACAAATTACATTACATGACTTTGTACGATATATGTAACAACAAATAAAATACACACTCTTCGTTTCCAAAGTGGGCGACAACGAAATCAATCAGTTTCCCTGTGAAGTTGACCGTCAGGGAAATGGCAGGTGCAATCTCTCCCTCTGGAGACGGAAGGAGGTGATGGGTTGATTTTACAATTGGATACTTTGATAGTGCCATAATCCTAAATGAGAAGAGGCGAAAAGTGACATTTTGTAGTTCACGAGAATCACAGGTGTGAACTAAGCAGATAAATGTGAGCAGAAGACTAACAGTCACTGAACGCAAACCATCAGACCAGAATATAAACCATCGCTAGTAGATTTTTCTGAATTTAGGTTTCCCTCTAAAATACTACTTGAGTACATGCCCAAAACTGTATTATCAATTTAATTCCTACACTAAGAAATATTCTATATATATGAATTCTCACACTGAGCCTTTCACAATCTGTATTTCAGACAAAACAGAATTTTATACTACTAGAAATTCAAACGTATTTTATTAGAATTAGAAGCAGAGAGAAATACATCTTCCAAGTATGAGATGTCTCATTTTTCAGCTTCAGTTTAGACATTTTGCATCAGGTTTTTGAAAATATTTCATGAATAGAGTTTCAGAGAATTATTTTTCTGCCCCATTCTGCCTCACTTAAATAGACAGACTCCAGAAGAGGAAAGTTACTAAATTCCCCTCACATATGGCAATAATTAAATAGCCATTGCAACATCACTAGAAAGTTCTATCTGCCACAGAGATCTATATATCCCCCTGAAAAAAAAAAAAAACACATCGTAAGCAACTATTTTTCCAGAAGGCAAAGGTATTGAAAGATATGCAACTGGTAGTTGGTCAAGCATTAAAGTAAAATCAACACAAAAAATCTGGTCAAACAGACGTCTTTCTATGCCCATTTCCCACTACAGAGTTCAACCTGGATTTAAGGAATTCAAGATTTCACATACCTCCAGGTACAGTTACATTTTCCAACTGCTATCACATGTTTAAGTCCAAAATATAAAGGTCTCATTGCCCAAACCAAAATAACTTGAAAAGGGAATCAGATACAGTACTTAGAATGACAAACGTCCAAATCTGTACAGGATGCCATTCTCTACTTCACCAAAACCAAAGTAGCTTACAGAGGCAGGCACCAAAACCTGATCATGTTTAACAATGAGAAAACTCCATCTGCATTACATTGTAACACTAAGGAATCAAAGCCTGTTCCTAAAAGACAAGCTCCAACAAAGCGATTATGGGGATTATTACTCCAACTATTCTTTGCTCACGTTCAGTATTGGGCAGCGTATTTACATCTATTTACTGTCACTGTGCATGTGAAGATGACTCACCCCCAAGTGTGATCTCTTGTGCTTGGACCAAAATCTGTGTAAAATCCTAGTTTTTCTCCTAGCCACATTGTTGGATCGTGGTTTCCAATGAATGGCTTAGAGGCATCACTCTCTATAATAGTGATAAAATCTGCTTCTAAAAAAGGAAGGGAAAAAACGAAAATATTTCCAAATTTATAACTGTTACCTATGAATGTGACTAAATGACCACATGATGTTGTAATTTCCCTTTTGATTGCACAGGGGTGGACACAAGTCCTTCAGGAATCAGTCAAGGCAAACTAATGTTCTCAAGACAGTCATGCCCAAACTTTTGGCCACTGCAGGCCACACAACCCCCGATAAAGGCATACTTAGTGTCTGCTTGACACAGCTCCTCCCTAGCGCACAACCAGAGACACGAGACTGCACAGTAAAGCTGGCCTACACAGACCTTGTGCATTAGAGATACTGTGAGTACACTGATTAACAGCACAGTAGCGACTCTACTGCTTTCAACGATGAACAAGCACTACACAGCACATCTGCACTTACCTTCATCTAACAAATCCTATTGTGCTCCAAAGGGTCCTGTGCAAGATGGAACTGGCTGTTATTGCCAAAGCAATTAATCAGCCCTGAGCGATCCAGCATTAGCCCCAAGGCATGGTAACAGAAGGGTTCCCAGCTCCAATGAATTGCTGACCATTGGCAGCCACCTCATTTTCTCATGGCACTGTGGTCCCTCCTTGTTTACATGCAGAAGTGTGGTTTTGTCAAGGGAAAAGGATGGGTTCCCCCATATTTTAACTGCAGGATACAGGAAGAACTATGCAGTCTCTCCAGGAACCTAAGAAATGCATCTAAGACCTGCCCATGCCTGAAGGAAGGAAGGTGGGAGTCTGCAAGCTGGCCATAGGATGCCTGGACCGTCCAGGCTCAGCTTGAGCAGCAGGTCCGTTCGGCTGCAGCAGAAAGTGTTCCCTTCTTGCTGCAATTATGCCCCCCTTGGAGTGTTCTCTTACTCCTGAAGGCAATCGAGTCACCACTTCATCCAAAGCTCTTCTTCAAGGAATTTAGACCACTCCAATCCAGCACCACTCTTGACATAGAAGACTTTTTGCTTTTGAAATGTCTTATTTAGCACTGTGAAAGCAATGCCAGCAGGAAAAATGGTAGCTCAGAGTATTTTTAAGTGGATTCCCAGGTTTTTGCTTCTACATCATTAGCATACATGCTGATCACAGAAACAGTAACTGAAACCATTAAGAAGGGTTGATGTTATGTATCCCTTCAGGGCAGACAGAAGTTCCAGACACAAAAGCCATTACACATTGCATCTTCACTACGCCAACAGAGAGAAGATGAGCCCAAGGAATGCATACCACCACATCTTTAAAGACAACCCCTATGCTGAAGCAGTTAGCCGCTCTTCTATGGGGCTCAAAATCAGGAACACTTTTTTAGAAAACCTTTTAAGAATTTGAACCTTAACTCTAAATATATTAATGAATGCATTTTCTGGAAATGTTAACATAGTATTTTATATAACAATATGCATATAACATAAAACTCCAGAATACTGTTTCTTGCAACCTGGAATTAAGATTTATTAATTTATATTTTGGAATTTGCTGCCTTTTTGACTTAATGGTAGGGTGGGTTTTTTTTTTAGAAGTGATACTTCACTACCTCAAAGAAATGCTCAGTGGACATAACCATATTTTTCTAATATTCATTAATTTAAACTATGGTCACCAGGAATAAATGCATTCATTATAATTCATAAATAAACTGCAAAGATTAAATAAACACCCAGATAGGAACTATGGAATCACTAATGTACAAGATCACTCCAAATTTCAATTCATTTAATGTCTTGGTTGTTTTCTCACATCACTAGACAGCCTACATAGCTCAGCCCTCTGAACCTTTGGGTTCATGGGACAATGGAGTGAATGATGCTCGAATTAGTCTGTTCACTCTTCATTAACTCCTGGGCATCTGTGCCACAAAATCAAGCCTTGCACAGGAGCATCTGTCAGTGCCTTCCCACTGCTTGGGTCTGTCAAACCTGAGCTGCTCAGGAAAGTCCTGCAGTGCACTCACACCATAGGAGAAGTTGAGAAAACAAATGCTGGAACAGCAGCATTGATACTTCCTAATCTCCTGAGCTGCTTTAAATCTTAAACCCAGTCTACCCTATCTCATGGGTATCACAAAAAAAGGTAACACCTACAAGCACCACTGGCTGACTCCTTTCAATGCACTCTGCAGCAGCACTAATCTTGAGTCCATATTCTTAATTTCCTATAGCTAATTTTCCAACCAAAATCCTGTCCATGGGCAACAGGTTAGACATCCTTCTTTACCATAAAATCATGACAACTAAGCTAAAACTGTTATCTTTCTTGTATATATTGCTCTGGTTCAGTGATGGAAACACTCATTTGTTTCTCCTCTATATTTGTTGCTTAGAGCATTTTAATTTCAGACACTTTCAGTATTATATAATGCTTCACATCTAAAAAAAAACCCACAGAGAAGTTACAAAGCATTGTATTTTATCTAAAAGGATATTTATCATTATTTTATTTATTCAAAGAGTTTCTCTATAGACAAGTTACTCATCAGCATTATGAGAAGAAAAATCCAAATAACAAACCAAGTGTTTTCTCGAACTAGAAACCTTTTTAAAAACACATTGAACAAGTTATCACCTCTGCAAATGGATTTTTAACAGAAGTGATTGTGTTGGAACAGCTCACCAATTCAGAAGAAAAACACTAAACACAGGTTCTTGTGTTAATGCAAAAATGGACTCAGTCACCCAGCAGGTGTTCTTTCTCTTTAGATGAACCCTCTCAAATATAAATGAAGTGGGAAAAAAAAATAGTTACCTGTCTGATTAAGCAAATTAGCTGATCCTTCCAAATTAGACCATCCTTCATTGTCATATGCAAATCTAAAAGGCCAGATCATAGCAGAGAAGTCTCGTTTTGGAACCTCAAAAAAATAAATTGAAAAAAGTCAAGTGCAATTTAACTTTTATGTATTATAGCTTTGCAGCCAACATCAGATACATGGTGCCATAAAAGACATGCAAGAAGAGAAGTTTTAACCAACACATTTTCCTAATAAAGATGTCAGGATTACAAAAGAGTTAATCTGCTATTAACAAGTGGAGAAGAGTCATCATAATTAAAATGTATTTGCAAATAAATGAACATGAAAGAGATTATGGATTATTTTGTCTTTCTAAGAGTAACTAGCCACTTTTTCCACACTATAAGAACCACAAACCTGAATTAATTCTAAACAGAAAGCCAATTGTATATGTCTGCATGCATGTGTGAATCTAACACTAAACTTTGCAAGCCTTAAGCATCTTGTTACAATCATTGCAACACATAATTTTTTGCCAGGTAGAAAACTGGAATCTTATGATTTTTATCCAATTTCCATAACTACTCTAATCCAGATCAACCAACTTTTCAGAGAGCTTAGATTCAGAGTTATGCATATGAATATAGAAGCACAGAATTCCTTCATCTGGAAGGAACCTCAGAATGTTATCTGCTCAAACTTCCCTGACATGAGATCAGGCTGCTAACAGCATTGTCAAGTCAAGTTTGAATACAACTAAAATAAATAAATTTATAAAAGTAACATTCAAATTTAACATATGAGGCAAGAATCTCTCATTTTTTCAGAATATTTTTTCCTTCACAGCAGCACCTTAAATCTCCAAAGACCCAAGCATTTCCCATGTTCAACATGAATTTACAAATTAAATTTTTGCATTTTCATTTTTGTGTTAGTTTTTCTGATTACTTGGATACTGGTACAAAGACTTCTTCAGCACCGATTAAGGCACCTGAAGTATCACATGCTGTATATATTTTACTGTATATTTGAAAGTTCCCATTTTTGCAAACATACTACTCACCCCTTGGCCCAGTTTCTTCTGATAAGTTCTATAACGTAAACCCAGTCCAAGCAAACCAACACCAACAAACAGCCACAAGACTTGAAATAGAAAAATACAAAAATTATGTTTTAAAGCAAGAAAAAATAACATTATTGTAGTTAGAACAGGGCACACTGTTACTCTAAGGTGCGCTATTTATAAGATGAGAAATGCGTATGTTTAAATTTCAACATATGCCAGGGACAACACCAGTCCAAGGTAGTGTACTTAAGAGTATCTAAATGCATCCAGAATATCTGTATGTGTGCAAATACGCTTACATTCTCCAAAACACAACATGCTGAACAGATAAAATATACCCAAACTCTTTGAAATAGTTATGTAAAAATTGTGTCTGCTGAAGAATTTGCTACAGAAGATGAGTAAGAGGATCATGTAAACCTTTCAGTGTTTTCCTCTTTGTGTTGCAGGTATGCATTTGTAGTACACAATTTTTATTTTGGATTAATACAATGCATGGAATAAAATTTAGTTTACTTTGCAAGCCTTTATATGTCAAAAACGTGATTTCTGCCAGACTTCCAGAGTGATCGTTTGTTTGACATGTTCCTGGAAAGGCACTTTGTCTTCACAGAAAGCATATTCAGAGTTTTCCCACTGCTCCACTAGCCTTCCAAATAAATACAGTGGACACTTAAGAGCTCTCAGCATTTGGCACATTCTAATTTGATGATCAAAGCCCTTCTCAGTTATTTCATTTCTGCAATGACATATGCTCTCTACAATGACTTCAGTAACTCCTGTTTATTCTTTCATATCTTTAAGCACTTATGAAATTACTGTAATGCAAGTTTTCTGGAACAATTTTGTGTAAAATTTAAATAAATATGATAATGGATTATGTCAGAAGAAAGGACATGCTGTTTAAATTAGCACACGTCAAGTAATTTCATGCTCTGCAAGACGCAAAGGTGCTTAAAGGGGAAGCTGAGAAAAAATACAAGTCTGGGCACGATGAGGAAGTACAAGAGGTATTGTCGCAACGTCACCAGATTAGCTGAACAAGGGCTGTACTTTGTGACAAGGAGTATTTTGAAATATTCACCCACTTTTGTGAGACGTTTCTGAGCAGCAATATTCAAACCACTTGAACTGGTGTTCACATTGCCTCTGACACACAAACTCTCACGGGCCATATTCTTCTGGCCCCTGAGTATACAGGGTAAAGTCCTCCATAAACATTCCAGAAACAGCCCTGAAAAGTTGTTAAGTGCTATTGTTTCTGCTTTCTAAATGCAGCAAAATGTACACAAATGGCAAGTGATTTGATACAAATCACAGAAGAAAAGATGCGGAATTTGAACCTTCATCATCCTGGTCTCTGTAGGGTTAGCATGCCCTAATATTTAGCAGTTTTTTTCCTTTACCAAACTTCACAATATTGACACATGTTTTTCTTAGAAAAAACAAACTAACAATGAAAACAAAAGCATCATTTATATGAATCCCTGAGGTTTAAAAGCCAAAAAGTAGTAAAACCTCGAACATTTGATTTTTTTTTCTCTTCAAAACCCAAGGAAAAAAGGCATATATACAATCTGGAAAGCTGGGATCCCCAGGCATAGTTCACAGGCAAATGATGACAAGAATTTCCTGAGCATAGGCCTGGTCTTAACACGAAGCAAAGCATCAAGATTGTATTGTGATGTCAGCCTCAACAGGCTTTGCAGGACTGCCTCCTCACACAAGAAGGTGTGTCACATTACAGAGCAGCTCTTGGGCCAGCCAAGTCCCCTCACACTGCCAGCCAGCTCACACAGCCTTAGGAAGGCTGTCTCACTGAACTGCTTCAAAAACGACATAAAAAATGGGCCAAGAAATTATTCCTATCTTTTGTGTACTCGTTGTAAATCTCAAGATCCAGAGAGGCCTCTTCCTCAACCTCTAAAATGAAAGCACAAATGCTGCTGAGTCCAACCCATTTACATATTTTGGTTTTTGGTCTCTATTTAACACACTCCATCAGGAATAGCTTCTGTCAGTTGTTATCACAGTGAGTCAGCTCCTCCGGTAGAATATGTCATCCTTAAACTGGAACCAGGGCAATACCAACTACAAGTCTGTCTCTAAAACTAGCAAAAACCCCACATTTCTAAAACATCTGAGCAAAAAGCTCCACAGTGTTACTCTTTTCCCTCAGACAATATCCCTACAGTCAGGGAAAAAAGGAAGTAAATTTATACTTACATAGTTTAATATAGTTTTTAGTCTTTTTGAATAGTGGCTTTTGATGGCTTTTCACTTCAAAGGTAGAACTAAGGTCTTTCTTGGGTCCTGTTAGAAAATCTAGCCCAATACATAACATGATAAAACCTACAAAAATATAAGTAATCAGTTTTTTTCATAGAGCCTTAATACATTAAACATTGCTCATAAACACAACACTTATAAACTTCCAGCTTACGAGACAACAACCTTATGGCTCCAACAACAAAGATGACTCAAAGCACAAATGCAGATAACTGCCATACCTAATGTAGCAATGCAGGACATATAAGATTATTGACAGCACTCTCAAGCAAAGACTGATTTGCAGTATAGTTCCAGGGTATTATGTAAAAAGGTTAGCACAAGTTAGATAAATCATGCTAAAACCCTTCCAGGTCCTGTTGATGGATACAACTCCCAGCTCAGTCCACTGTTTTCAAAGTTTACTGAAATCAACCTGGACAAGAGCAATTAAGTTACACCCACATATTACAGAACCTTAAAATAGCAGCTTTATGAAAAAATACATTGTTGATTGTAGATACGTTTTATCTACAAATTAACTGCTCTGTCACCAAGATAAAAGTAACACATTTTTTGTATAAGAACTACAAAAGCAATTGCTCATCGATTTGTACTAAAACATCGTAAGCAGATTGCAGCAGTTGGAAGGCCAATTTAACATGGCAGCAACTTGTATTCTTGCACTCCAGGGCCAACAAAAACAGCTCTGCATTTTAGGAATAGACAACTAAACACACATGTAGATACATTTTAAAAACTAATGAACAACTTCATGCACTAACTGTTGCATTGCATTGGAAAGGTATCTTTTCAATAAGTAGTTCAGACTGTTAGTACAAGGTCTTTTCCTATTCCTTATGAGATAAAGGATCCAATTACCTTCAAAGAAAACATGGGAGGATAATGAATTGGGTAAGAGCTCTGCTGGAGAAGATATATGTCCTTAATATCTTTGGGGCACAGTTAATTGACTATAGAAGCAATGTTTTACTTCAGAGTTATAGCTGATGATGAAATTACTATTACTCAGTATTTTTTTATTGCCCTTACTTGTTACATTAGTTGTAGTGAAAGTTTGCAAACCAAGCTAGGTCTAGAGCAATGATGAAGGGGGCACACACAAACCTTCCTCAAAGGGAGACTGATTCACAGCCATTAAAGGAATCTGACCCTCAGCATTATATCACATCACAGTAAAGCAGCACAGAAATTTTGAATATAATGATCTTACTTCCATTGTCAGTTTTCCTGGTGCAGCTCCCTACCCAAACTGCAGCAAGAGAAAGGCAGGATATTGGACAGGAGGAGAAAGCAAGAAATAGCAATTGCACCTGAAAGAAACCAGAAGAAAACAAGCAGTTCGCCAGAAAGCCAAACTGTAAGGGTAGAAGCACAGCAACAAATATGTAGTCTCATGGTATAATTTGCAAATCTGTGATAAGCAATGGGATGGCATTAAAAAGACTGGATTCTCAGATGGAATTTAAACTCATGTAGTGTCATCAGCTGAGACGGGTTTAGTTCGCAGATTTCATTTTACCAAAGAGAAAGTTAAGGCCATCTCTGTGTTACTACCTTGTGATCATGCCATGTAAATTAATCACAACTGTATTTCAAAGGAAGCAACAGAGAGGGATTTTATATAAAAGCTTTCCTTTGTCACAGTATTACTCAAGAAAGCATTTGACACTCCTCTACCACGTGCTTCCTTCATATAACTTCAAAGAATAAGATTTAATTAACTAAGATACTGTTTCTACAGACCCCCTAGAGTGCTTTGAGAACAAAGAAAATAACACAATAATGGAATGGAACTCTCCTCAAAACGTAACAAACTGAAATCCCTAATGCCATTGATGTAATATAAGAAATGCTTATAGAGAGTAAGGAACTGGAGTGACAGAAAGTGGTTGCAAAAACAGTTATGAAATCTAAAACCAGTGGAGCAACAAGTCAAGCATAGCATTCATTAATCATTTCCAAACAAAATACAGGCTCATACATCACATTTTAAAATGTGCCACACAATTAGCTCAAGACAATGTTTGACATTGTTTAAATATAGTTAGTGAAATATGTTATTGAAACACTTTAGTACCTATTGAGAAAATAATTCTGGAGACAAAACCAGGAAGGGTTGGTTTCATTTCCATCTCTCCACCCTCAACAAGTGATCATTTGGCTAAAGCCTTTATATTTGCTCAACTCGGTTGTTCCTCATTTGCAAATACCTGACAATTTTTTTTCTTCCTCTCCTGTTTGCATGTTTCTGACACTGCAGGCTCAATTACATTCCTCCAAACATGCTGGTGTGTCCACAAAACGTAAGGTAGAGCCACACAGAAAAGAATCTCAGGTCTCAAATGTAGATTAGCTAGATCAGCAGGATGATACACTTTGCTCTTCAGAGCAGGACTTCATAATGCACTGAATTATGTCACGGTCCCAGTAACTACATTGTTACCTGAGGTACCATACTGCTACTTTGGGTAGCTAGCATACAGGTGCATTCACAACCTGGATTGCAGCCAGGTTTTTAGGGTGACTGATCAACAGATCTCTTCCTCAGTTGCTTACTGAGTTATCAGACATTTTTTCATTTCATCATTTTCCCCCAGCTGAATTCCATATTTTGTCCACATTTTAGACTATTTCTAACAGTAAAGAAACAAGTTGGGGGTTTTTTTTGCATATCTCATTAATTTTTTCATTCTTACCATAGTAAATCTAACAGCAACTGAGCATTTGGAAAGAGTCTTTATACGCTAGCTACATTTCACATGTCTGGCTGAGGCTAAAACAAGTGTATTTGTATTTGTTCATAATCGGAAATGTACCTAAAAGAAGATGGGAGCTTTCTCTAATGTAAACTCCTCCAGGTACAAATTTATAAGCTGTACACCATACACAGAAGAATAATTCAAGAACATAGGCAAACATGGCTGTACTCATGGCTTTCCCAGGATGCAGACAGCTAGCAAAGCGTCCAGCTAGATGAGGCCACACAGACATAGTAAAGACAGCAAGAATGTTGCCTGCAACAGCAGCACTCCAGGTGTGTAAATAAAGAAGACCAGCTGAAGATGCCAAACCTGAGAAGGTATAGAAAAGAATATAGTAAGTCTCAGTCATATTATCTGCCACATTCATTTTCACATTCTGTCTGGGAAAAAAATACAGTCTGGGAAATATAACTGTTCTTTGCAGCCATGAAAACTGCATCACTAGGATTTCACAATTGCCAAAGACAGTCTCTTACTTTTCCTAACATCCCAGTTTTTTAAAGATTGCTTATTCAGCTGAAAACAGTGCAGCAAAAAGACAGCAGAGAAACATCATCAAGAGCCAAAACTAATCAGTTTTTCTTACATTGAGCTCTCCCAGCACAACAGAGGGATGATGCACTCTTTAAGACAGTATCAGGTTTGCCTATTATGAACCTCCTTTACCATAATAAAGAATCAAATAGGTTAATATGAAGAGCAAACATATCTTTCCCTGATCTGATCTTTTTTCCCTGTAGATAACCATATAAAGGTTAGGCAAGAAAACTATTAATCTTTTACTAACCCCAAGAGTTTTTATTTCCCACATCGTCTTTGATTCGGGGATTCAACCCCAAAGTGAATATTAACAACCACACAAGCTCTCTATAGCAGGACAATTTCATTTTCAAATGTTACTGCAGGTAAGAGTGTTTCACAGTCTCATAGCAAATGTATAGAAATGCTTTTAATATTTTACTTATACATCAAGGCTCTGAGCATTTTAAAATACAATGGCTGAATCAACTAAAGAACCATTCCGTACCTGTTTTAAATTAGTGATGTGTGTACATTAAAAAACAGATGCTCATACTCACATTATAATCTGCACACACATTCCTTAAAACTAACACCTACACCAGAAGGTAAATTGCCCAAAGGGACAACCAATGGTTTAAGCATTGGCAACTCTTGTGCCTTCAATGTGACACTCCTAATATTTGGTATTTTATTTTGATTCCTGACTAGGAGAAACTCAGTTTATACTCAATTTCTTGCCTTCAAGGTTGTGGAAAATGACTTGAAAGTGCACTCTTAAGTGCTCCAAAGCAGAAGGTGAATGAGAAAAAAAAAACAAAACGTAACTCATCATTTCCTTTGGTCACCATATTTTGTATTCCTAATTTATGATCAAACATTTGTAGGAAGACCTGCTGTGTCTTCTTTATATAAAGATCTAAAGGCCAAAAACAGAAGCAGATTTAGAGGTTTTTTAGATAGCATTTATATCACTATATTTCACTCAGATGGGATGACAGATTAAACCAAGAAGCATCTATCCATCCATGCTGAGACAGCATGAAAAACACACCTCTCCACAGTTCAGGAGCAGAATTATTTTCGTCTCCTCCTACTTGCTCCACACATCACTCGCTCCACAGCATAGCTGTACCTTTCTCCTGAAAACGGATCCCCAGATCCAGTACTTGAATCCCACTTCCCACCACCTAAGACCCACTGTATGCAGACTGATTTACAAACATATTGCTCCAGTAGACAGCTTTGATGTTCATATTATTTTATTGCCTGGAGATCTTGAAAACTAAGAAGACAGGAGGCAAGCTTGCCTCCAGATGAAATACACACTAAATTACAAGTTATTTTGCCTTCTGTAGAATTAAGAGGTTTGTGTCACCTTAACCCCATAACCCCACATGTAGCCTTATCATAGAATGACTAATGTTGGAAAAGACCTCCAAGATCATCAAGTCCAATGCGTTATACAATGCAGATGGTCAGAACTGAGATGCTGCTCAAGGGAACAGAACCTCAACAGGGGCTTCTGCAGAGAGTAACACTGCTCTGCAATGGCCTGGAGATTTGGCCTATAGTCCTTAGTCAACTGGTCAGACATATGTATACTACAGTCAGTGACGGAGAAAAGGAGGCTTTGATTAGCCACACTTTTCTGAGATGTGGTGTAAGGGCAGAGGACTTGAGTAAAAGAAATAAAGTAACAGAAACAAAAATTCTGCTCAGGATTTGCACCTACCTATGAGAAACCAGGCAAAACTGATGACAGAAGACCAGCTCCAAAATGAAAGCATCAGTCCCTGAGCCAAGCCCAACAGAACTGTACCTCTAATACAACAACAAGGAAAAAGTAATCATACATTAATATGATTTTATAAACCTCTGGTCAAAAACAAACTTCTAAACATAGGCAAGGATGTTTGGTAATATTTATAATCCTTTTACTTTAAACAGAGCTTAATTTGAGCACAAAATACCTTTACTTCACACCCTGCTATACTTTCTCCCCTCTGTAAAAAACCTCCAGTTGAAAATAATGGCAGTTTATTGTAAGGTGTAAGCGAGCTATGCTCAGCACCAGAAGCAGCCCACTGAAATCCTGAGAACAAAAGGCAAAAACAACCCAGAGAAAATGAGAGGGAGGAATCCAGTGCAAAAAGAAGCATTTTCTTCACATCAAATAGGGGATCCTAGAGCATCTAACATTGCTACCAGTCTTGGGTAGCTCTTTTGTATACCATCTCCAAATTATAAACTCTTTCACCTGCCATTCCACATAATGGACTCAGAATAACTAATCTGGTCTCTTCCTAGGTTTTGGAACCCAAGTGAACAGCACACAGCATCAAGACTACAAACGTCTACAGAAGTATATCTTTTAATATTGCACACAGTTTATTTATGTGCATGCATCTCTGATCATCTCCTCTCTGAAGTCAACTGCTAAACTAATTACTGCCTATAATAGATAGACTGCATTCATAAGTCCTTGAATCTCAATCCTAATCTAAATATTGTTTTGCAATGTGGCAAATCAAGATTTTATTGCTGAAAAAAAATTCTGTACTAGAAAATTTTAAGATTTCATGGTCTAGACACAATGCTCAGAGCTATCTGAAAGCTAGAATAAATCTACAAGTCCTCTGTGTGAATTATCTTGTATCCACTTTTTTCTATTTAAATTATTATACCATCATCTGGTTGAGTTTTAATTCATCCTCCACTATAGCACTGGTTTTTGAGAACTGTTTTGTTTAAATAATAATAATAGAAATCCACTTACCCATGTGGATTAGGATCTGGACCTGTATGTGGATGTCCACTTACTGCCCATCTAGAAATTAATGAGACCTCCCCAAATATCCACAGGGTGAGGAACATGAGGCTGCCAAAAGCAACCCCAGATAAAAGCCAATAAGGATGGGAAGCAGTCTCTCTAACCGCATTACCAGTTTTGTTTGCTTCTTGTTTCCTCCTGTCTCCACCTAGAATAAGCACAGAATTGCAGCTAAGCAAACTGTCAAATCCATTAGCAAGAGTTACTGAGAAAAAGAAATAGCCAAGATCACAAAATTATCAGAATAAATTACAGACACAAAAGCTAACTTTTCTGATCATTCATGGAAACTGATAACTCACAAAAAAAATTCAAAGTCTCTAGCAACAATCCTAGGTCTGCCAGGAAAAGCTACTCACAGTAAGTGTACAAAAATGGCAACCTGCACATTTGATTATTTTTCATAATACTGGAATTTAAATAATTAAATTGGCTTTGAAAATTAGCAGAAAAGTTATTGGAATTTGTTCAGAGGATTCCGTTCTCTGAAACTCTAAGCTCTGATAAGAACAAAACCTGACACTTCCAAATAAGCCAGAACTAAACTCCCTTCCTTCTCCTTTTTCCAGGCACTGTAGATCCTCTCTCATCTAAGGAGAAAGCAACACCTTTAATTGCATAGACATATCACTTTGTCATCCACAAAGGAGACATATTTCCTTCCTAATCTCTTCAGTAGATTCCCTTTCTAAATTCTGATGAAAGTTCAGGCTTAATTTATGTTATGTAATGCAAGTCTACAAACAATATGCATGATGATAATTTATACCCACTTACACATAGATAAGGTTTTATCTTTCAATTAATTCATTCAGGTTATACTGAGAAGGAAGGAGCTCCTGAGGATTTAACATGAGCTGCCTTAACTAACCAGTTTAACTAACCTCGCTGTCTTCCTTGGCAATACCACCTTCACAGTTTTTAAGTGAGCTTAGCCTATGCCAGCCCCCACTGCTGTGTACTCTTTCCAAACACTTCAAGAACTCAGGCAAATTTTGACCAGGACAACTTGTCCGCTCTTCCAATACTTTCTGTTTATTTTGACACATCAGCTGTTCCCCAGCTTTGTCCTGTCTCCCCTTCTCTGTCAAAAGATATGCACTGGCAGAGAAATTCAAAGTGCAGACTGAATTAAGAAAATAAGAGAAATACCACAGATGTTTCATGATGGAATGACAATGACCATTCTGCTTTTACTGGTCTAGCTTATGCCTTTGTTTGTGTTACTGTCACATTATTGACACTGCAATTAGTCCACAGTTCCAACACCAACTTACTACAGCTTGTATGAATTGTGATACCAGTTCTGACATGTTATGGGTAGATGGAAGTACCCCATGGCTTCTAAAGCTCATGTATCAGGTCTAAAAACAGACTCTATACTGGGGAAAAAAATCAACAAATCAAAACCCAGTGGCACATAGATAAGTATACTTTAGGATGTTTTCATAGCTGCCATCTTTGTTGTAACATGCTTACCTGAATAAATTCGCTCCACTGCTGCTATAAAACCTATTATCATAATGACAGTATTGGCAACCTGTGAGCTCCAGACTGGGTTTAGTGACGTGTACCAGATGCGAAGAACAAGGAGCATTATCTTGCCTAGCATGAAGCCCCATATCCTGATGAACCTGTAAGAATCAGCTTTTGAAATAGTAAGGTATTTGGGGAAAAGAAAAAATCTTAACTTCTAGGGGACAAAAAAGAAAGAAAACATCTTTTAATACAAGGAAATGTCAGTTCCAATCTCATCAGAATAAGAAAATACCTTTGTAAACTGTTTCCTGACCACCATGTTACTGTTTGAACCAGCAATGAAGAAGAAACACCAACAGCCAAGATGAATAGTCTAATTGAAGCATTTGGTGCCTGGTATGATGCCAAGCTTCCTACAAAGAAACACACGCAGACAGAGATTGTTTTAAGGGGCAATAGAGATCAGGTAATAAGGATTTCCTGTGTATTAGTTCAACCTTGTCTGTAATTTGAATAGCTACACCATTCATCTGAAAACACATGACATTACCCATTTTTAAACAAAGCAAGGTAGGTATGGATAGGAGTGAGTATATATGACTTTATAGCATTTATAATTTTCAAGGAAAAAGATAAATGAAGCAATTATCCAACAGTGCAGTGATTGCCTTAATTTAAGTACTTATGGTGATTGATTCCATAAATATGATATATGGATAAAATATCTAAGCATACAGATACTCCTCAACTATGCACTTACATAACTCAAAAGCCATAAAGTTTTATGTATGGTGACTACTCCTTTCTAAAAAGGATACGGCTTTTGCCGCAGTGCACTTTTAAAATAAATGCACTTATAAAAGTAAGTACACTGTGGCAAAAGCCATATTCTTTATTAGACAGGAGCAGTCACCACACATTGCTCAGGGATTAGTAGGTGTGAACAAGGCTTTCTCTGGCCCAGTATTTGATCTCAGAGTCATCACCAACAGCCTGTGTCATCTTATTACTGGAAACTGTCACTCTCCCAGTCACTGAAACAGAGCATGCACACACATCTCCACCAGTTCTCACGGCACAGTGACCTCACCCTATCAGCAGTTTTAGATTCTGCTAGCAGGTTTCCAATTAAAGTGACAATGGATCACATACATTCTCATAACCTCACTCAGTGTGGCAAAATCTGGCCCAGGACCAACATCAAACATCAGGAGAAGCAACATTGTTATGCCACCAGCCATTTGCTAAATGAGTATGAGTCAAACTTGAAGAGATGTTAAGCAAGTAAGGTCAGAAATAAAGCTGCAGATTCTGGCAACACATGCCAGGAATCCTCCAACTGTCTACCTGCTCATTCAGCTCGCAGTAAAAGATATGAAGTTTAGCACCAAGATGATAAAATTAAATCAGTGTGTAGTGAAGATGTACTTGTGTGACCTTCAGCAGAGGTTGCACGTACAATGCACACAGATTTCTGTCGCTAAATCGTACCGGCAACCCATAAACCTGCCTCTTAAATCTTTCATCACTTCCACTCCCCTGATTAAAGCTAGCATGAGTTTGCCAATTTACAACAGACACACCTTTTGTTGCTGAGCAAGTACACCCAAAACTTAAATATATCTGTCCAAACACCCAAATTTACTGTGTGTTGTCTGAAGACACAGATTCAAATAGACACTACCAGGGGGTAGTTGGTTGCTTTTGGTTTTAAATAGAACACAAAATCAAGTACTATGGAATTAAAATTTTCAGAGAAAATAAAGCCTCCTGAAAAGGCAAAAAGAAACAAAAAAAAAAAACCATGCCCCTAAATATGGTTTTAGCTAAGCATGAAGAATTTTCAGATTTTTTGATTGTGAAATTTAGGACTGAGTATTTCCAATGGAATGAGGTGGAGCATGCGTGGGGTAGATTGTGCTGCCTGATTGTTCAACAAGCCCCAGAGGAAGGCCATAGCCTTTCTGAGGAGGAAAAAAAAAGATCAAAAAGAGAATGAAGTGTCTAGGTATGAAGGAGGGAAAAAAAGGAGGAAGAATTGAGAAACAGGAGAAACAGCAGCACAGTGTGATGGGACAGAACTAACACAAAAGATAAAATGAAGTGATGAGAACTAAGTAAAAAGATATATATGGAAAGTCCTAATGAAATAGAGAATGAAATAAAATATGAGATATTTAGCTATGAAGGTGTGACTTTGCAAAATGTAAAACTGCTTAAAAGTCTCTGACCGAACTGTGGGCAATTGAGATAAAAAGCTTAGAGAATGGGGAAGGCTTTTTAGCACGTAGAGAGGGGTGGGGAACCTGAAACTGCTTGAAGTGATAAAACTTTACGTAACTACTCTATAATGGTAAGAATAGGAGGTAAAACTAAGTGTCTATTTAGATAAAACAAACTGCAAAGGAGTGTATGCGTATTAACCTGTAACTGTTTGAAGTGATAAAACTTTACGTAACTACTCCATAATGGTAAGAATAGGAGGTAAAACTAGATGTCTATTTAGATAAGAAAGACTGCAAAAAGTGTGTGTGTAAAGATAATTTTGAGCTTGCTACTTTCAAACTGTATAAAAGGCTATGTTATTCCTTGGTTCGGCGGAGTGCACTGGGGAGAACACCTGCCCCTTTGCATTCCCCGGCCGTAATAAAGGTGCTTTTCAGATTGGCAGAGATTTCTTTGAATCACTAAAGCCCAGTGCTGCCTGTGCAAGGGCATCTGGATAACTTGAGAACCTGCAGCATGGAGGCAAGTAGAGTGAGGGTTACTTCTGGCTGCTAAACTCCTTGATGGAAACAAAGAGAGTGAGGAACATGCTCTTACATCTTCCACAAATGCTAACGCTCGCTGTAGGGCAACATGTAAAGAGAATGCAGAGTACATACAATAGAGCTGGGAGACAATATGGTGTAGACTTGCAAAAGGGTGGACAATATTCAGAGTGTTTAAGAGGTGAAAACAGCAGGGGGATATGGTCACTGAGGGGACAGTTCCTGTTCAGGCAAGAATGAAGGAGAGATGGATTTTGCATATAGCAACACTCAGGTTATCCCTGGCTGAGGATGAGCACAGCTTTTGTCTCCCTCCTCTGAGTTTTTCTATGACCACCTACATTAAGACATTTCTGCCCCAGATTACTACTGAATGAGCTAACTTTTTATTTGGAGTTAATACTTTCAGGAGCTTCTGATGCAGGTGAAGCAAACAGGCATGAACCAACAGACTTTACACACCATTACAAGCCTGTTACTGCTCTTTACTTAGCAGAACAAAAATTACACTCTTTTAGGTGATTTCCATCTCTTTTGGTAAAGTGAACTACTAAACACAGCAAGGCGATCTGAAGGACTAACCTTAAATAAACATGGCAAATTTTGTGTCACTGTGACATCTGAAGGGATGCAGGGTGCAATTTTAAATGCTTCCACTCATTACTAGTTTTCAAATTAGAAAATCTTGCAGAAAGAGATATACTGAGCACTGCTGCAGGAAGCTGAAGTAGAAGATTCTGCTCACTTAAAAGCTTATTACAGAAAAAAAAGGTATTAGGATGGATAAAATGGGAAGAGTAGGAAAAGAAAAGAACATGGTAAGACTATTCTTAATCTAAACCAATGACACCAACAAACTGGCTTCAGTTCCAGTACCTTTCTAGAGATAAAGAACAAGAATTCTTTTCAAAAAATATGAGGAGAAAGTAAATAAGATGATCTTATTCTGTCTTCTAACAGTAAAAGAGAAAAACTGTAAGGAAAATGATTCCCTGATTATCATTTTAGATTAACAAACGAGGAACCAGGAACTGCTGCTTCTGAAACACATCACTCAGCAGCAGTATTTTCATCTCTACAGAGGGTGGAGCCCCTTGTCTCCCCTGAGTTCATCCAGGTGTTGCAAGTTAGTTAGCAATAACTTGCTTCTGAATGTGGCTGTAGGTGCCAAACCTTCTCCCAACAAATTTTCAGAAAATCAACAAAAGGTAAGATTTGCACCAGTTAGTTGAAGACCAAAGCATGAATCCCAGCAAATCTTCATTTTAGTAGGAGTGTGTGGGATGGGTAGCAGGGTAGCTTTTTCCTGAATTTACGATCACTTTTTTCCTGTGCAACTGACAATATAAGTCATTTCACATTTAGGATGAGCCATAACCCCATCAATATACTACAGGCATCTACATAGATTTAATTTAAGAATCTATTCTTAGAAGAAAAAAAACTGCCTCAGAAACTAAGTCTACCAAAAAGAATGTTTTACTCAGAGTAGATTACTTTTATAATAGCCTCAAGATGATGTCTTGTCCCTACCCATTGTCACAGACACAGAACTGCTGTACAAAAAAACACCTGCTCTGCTGATCTCTGTGTGATACTGAAAACATCTTTCCTATTGGGTGTGACTTATACTAATTTAAAAGCTTCTAGAGGTAGAAGTGAAAGGAGATTTTTCTTTAATTATGCAGCAACCCAACACAATGGCTGTAAGCAATATTCCTCTAAATATAGCTAAAAGTTTGAGAGAAAAAAATCCCAACAAAACATGAGTATGGGGAGAGTGAGAACTTCTTATTGCTGTCTCTTTTTGTAATCATTTGAATTTTAAGGCAATTTGGAAGGTTTGTTCTTATGCCTTGATAACAAGATGGAATCTATAACTCACTACAGTGCATACTTACCAACCATAGTCAATCTCAGAAAAACTAAGACATACTTATTGTTAGCCAACCTCCAAAAAGGGCCAATTGTCAAGAATATTGGAGAAAAGAAAGCAACAGCAAAAACTTCTAGGCCCGTGAGTGCCAGTGTCTGAAGGGGGAAGTAGTAGATCATCGGTGGCAGTGCATGGTAAAGAGACCAAGAAATGTAGCCTAAAAAAAAAAAAAATCAAACAACAACAAAGGAAAATCCCGTCATGTATTTTCAACAGCAAGGTTTCCTGGAGATTACTTAAAAACTATGATTTTGTACTTCCACATGTAGACTATCAAACATATTGGAAAGTAATTCAACAACAGCCACTTTCTGTGAAGAAATATTTGCTATTTCAAGTTAAACAAACACATTTTCCCAGGAAATAAACCAATGAGAATAAAATAGTTCTTCCCCCCTTTAGACAGCAGTTTCTATTTTGATCCTCAGTGAAGGAGTGGTCAGCCTCGGAAAGGGTTACTTTTCGGAGAGATCAACGCTGCCTAAACGAGCAGTCCACCCACAGCCTCAGGGCTCCCCAAAGGCAGACTGGTGGCTAAAGGAACTTTTCTAGTAAAACGGTGTGGTGGTCTCTCCTGGAGACACCTCGTCCAGGCACGCCAGTACTGCGCTATGAGTTTCCACACGCTTTGCAGGAGATGCAGGGAGCAGCCGAGCCGCAGCCCGAAGGGTGTCGGGGTCTGCCCTGAGCGCCCTAACTTGCTCAGGGCAGCACAGCACCGGCTCTGCAACACCTGCACAACAGTTGGCCGAGGACAGCAATAAATCCTAGGCTGATCCAAGGGACAAAAGGCATTCCATCACTAGAGGAAAAAGAGAACCCTAAGAAGAACACTCAGCAGCGACCACTGTTCGCTCATTTCTAGCGGAGGAGCGTTTCACCGGCGACACCCCGCCACGGTCGGTGACTCCCGCGGCACCGCGCCGGGGCTGCCCCGCCACGGCCGCCGGCCGGTCCGGGCAGAGCCCCCCCGCCGGTGCCCTCAACCTCGGCCCCTCGCCCCCAGCCCCGCGGGGAGGCACCGCCGCCACCTACCCAGGAGACTCTCCGACAGAATGGCCTTCCACAGGGGAAACATCGCGGCGCTGCCCGGCTCGGCGGGGGTTTCCTCTCTCTTCCCGGGAGCCCAGTCCCGAGTGCCCAGGAGGGCGCGGCGCCGCCGCCCGTCCCGTCCCGCCTCGGGGAGCCGCGTCCCCGCGGCGGGGGCGGGCAGCCCGCACGGCCGGAGCTTGTTCCTTACAGCCCCGCCACTCGGAACGGCGAGGAGGTCTCGCCCCCTCGCTGACCTGTCAGCAAAGGAGCACTTGTCCACCGAACAGTCACTCCAGCAAGGAAAATAAAAGCAAAAGGTTGTCATCCCACCGGCTGATGGGGAAAAGAGGAGCTGACCCACTTGCTGCTCGTATAAATGCTTGGTTGACTATGTGGGGTTCGGAGGTGTCCGGATTACTGCTGTGCTCATCTTAGCGAAATGTGTGTTGTTTTACCTTCTGATAAGCAATGCTGTCTGCAAAAAGCATCAAAAGAAGCATTTAGTTGGCTGAAATTCCTGAGTTGTTACGTTTCCTAGTTTTAGAAGAGATCCTGAGTTAAATCGACACAGCCATGAGCATAGCTGCCAAGTTATGGCAAAAGGATTACATAAGCAAAATCTGAAATTTAGAATTTCATTTTTGGTATGAAAAGTAAAATTGTAACTAAGAAGTCCTCTTGCTGTTGGAATATGTCATCTTCTTAAGTTTTATTAATCTTCATACAGCACCCTATGAAACTGCCAGCTGTATCTTCTCATTTCTGTTAAAACTACTGTCCCATTCTAACTAAACTTCATGGTATGCATTTTCTTTCCTTGTCTTGTGAAACTCCAAATCCATAGGAGTAAACGATGAACACCTGACATACAGCAATAAATTCCAGTCAAAACGTTTGGAACAAAAGTTTGTCCCAGTAGTCTCAAAGTCAAGTGAATCATTTACCCCACAGTATAATGGGGTTTGGCTAGCTACTAAAACTCTGTTGAATTTTGGATACTATTTGAAAACATGTTTTTTAAATGTCCACAAAAGAATTGAAGTATTTTGAGGGAAAAGTCAACCTCACTAGGGGAGGAAAAATGAGATTCATAGATTTAGTTACCTTCTTTCTGTCTTCTCCAAGTTCCATGTCACTAAAGGCATCTTTCTTTTTCTTCATTTAAGAAAAGTCACACCAGAATAGTCACCAAGTTCACTTATTACTGGCTCAGGATTATGTAAGTGATGACACCATTTCATCTTGCTGTGGTGTGACGCAAATGGAACTTGGAAGATGAGATCCTTGGCTAGAGTAAATCTGGAACATGGCTGCTCTTGTAGCTGCATAGGGAAAGTGTGAAGCTCACAGTATGCATTCAGCCAATAAATATTTGAAACAATTTTGCAACACTTTTTGTAATTACAGTGTCTTGCTTCATGGTTCAAGGTGGAGTTCCAGTAAAACTAGACATGGCTGAACTCATGAACTTGACATGCTTGTGTGGCTTCCATCAAATTCATAATGCAATGAAGATAATGCAAATCCTGAGAAATTTAGCCATCATATTCTGGGTAGTCTCTCTGAGATTCTTAGCAACTACCAAGTTTGGCTTCACATGTAATGAAGTGCTCTCCATAGGGCTGACACACATATAAGCATCAGAGCACAAGAGGAGAGAGTTTTCAGGTGTAATTTCTTAAATACAAAAGTCAATGCTTACAAGGTGATTCATAACACATGTATGTGTAGGAATGCCTTTCACTATATTTTTTTAATCTTGAAGCGCCACATGCGTAGCTGATAAAAAATACAGCAAAAGCAGCTGATCTTTACAGGAATATAACGAAGGAAAATCAGCAAAGCTGAGATAACATACTATACTAGGAGTTTCCACTCACACAAAAAAGAGTATTTTCATTTTAGAATAGTATTTAACATACCCTTACCCTAATGTAGACATACAAAATTAGCTGAGATTAACAGAAAATAAATTTCAGCCCCACAACTATATTGCTTGACAGGGGTAAATCTCTCTAAAGCTAGTGATTGTAAAAAAAAAAAATGCCTTTTTTGGGTTCAAACTATTTGGGTTCAAAGTTTTGAAACCCAAAGTAAACACATGAAATTTAAAACAATTTTCAGACATGTGTGAGAAGCTGTCCTTGCATATAGCCCAGCAGAGATAGGCCTGAATGGGCCTGATGAAGAAGCAGAAGAAAGTAACAGAAAAATGGAAGAAAAAAAAGGCATAGAAGTATGAGCACAGATTAGGATTAAGAAAGTGACTCTGGAAAAAAATTGGTGTGGGTGAGTTTACAGTTAGGCACCTGTCACACTCACAGTGGAAACACTAACACATGCAGGTCTCTTCAACCATTTTACTGGCTTCTTTACACTGAGAAGAGGAAATCTCAACTCTTGAACACCTGATAATTGTCAGATCTTCATTTCTACTAGAAGAGAAGCCAGACCAAGTGTAAAATAAAAATAAGTACATCCAAGGATCAGCCAGGACATAGAAAACTTACATGATTTCTTGTATGCAGTGAGGACAGTTTAATGTTTTACTTAGAGGTACGTTGACTGTTTCCTGCTGCGATGTTTCATGTCTTTTCATTCACCCTTAACTCCTACTCTTATTAGCATGAGAACAATATCCTATAGTGTAATTCTTATTTAGTTCTCCATGCTCTAAATGTTTCTGTGACTGATACGTTTTTGTAGCTGCACTGTGCTTCCATTACTCCAGGTCTTCATTTCTCAGGGAATTTTTAAGCAATTAATGATCTGTTTAATTTTATAACGGACGAATAATCATATTTATGATACGTTCCTCCTTCTCTCATGTGCTGTATGTATACATGGGGTTTTTCTGCACTGCGAAGGCTTTGCCTTTGGTGAATGTAGTGAACCTCAGGACCCCGGCAACCCTCCAGTGTTTTCTAAGAGGTTTTTCAGACAAGCAGCCAGAACCTGCAAACCTTCCCTGAGTTTGTGAAGTCTCCTTCTACTCTGATAGCAGAAAATTCCTCAGCCAAACATTCAACTCCATAATGGTTGTTTTATTTTTGGTATCTCTTGGGGTTTTTTTCTTTGATATGTAAAGTTGGTTTCATTCTGGGAGGGGTAAGAATTTCTCTTTTGGTTTGTATTTATTCTTCTGAATCACTAACATTTATTGATTTCTGTCCATTACCTCTCTCCATTTTTTATAACTATGAAGTACTTTCAGGTAAATTTTGGAAACAAGGAGTATTTGAAGAACATATTCAATTGTGATAACCAACTTTAAAGTTAAAATTAAAAGGAAGTTTAACCCGAATTTTTAATAGGCAATTTTGCACAGGAAGTTGCAAGAATCCAAACAGTCCTGTCCCTAGGCAATCACTATCGCCAGGCACGCATATGCCTCATGAGGAAATTGTCATTCCAGTGCTCTTTCACTTTATGTCCAGTTTAAGCTGTTATTCTTAACTGTTACCAGTTAAGAAGGTTATTAAGTACTCTCCCCACATGGGATTTCCTCGTGTATTGTATTTTTCAGAATACAATGCGGCCAGTTTTACATATGATTTCAAGAATACATTTTAGAGCACATGAGCTATTAGGTACACTTTTAAGACTTCTTTTAGGACATCATTCCCGCCCAACCTCCACGTGAAAAGCACATCATGCAGCAGCAAAGCCCAATCCTCTGGTTTGTCAGGCAAGGGTAGGAGAATAGTCTGGTGAAAGGGGCTTCAAGTAGCCAAGACTTCTGGAAGCTGAAAGCTTTTTTGGACTCAAGAAAATAAACCATGACTTATGCTTACTATTAAACTGAGATGCCAAAGTCATGTAAAAGGAGAAAGTTTAATGGTGATCCCACAAGCTGTTGATTTCATAAGTACTGAGGTGTCATATCACCATTTAGGATACTCTAAAACTATTATGTTTCACTGTGAAAAACCAAAGCAAAGCGGAACAGAAATGGAGACTTTTTTATGAAAGACAAAATACAAAATAAAATTCATGTTTACATTCCTTGCTTTAGAAAGCTTATCCTTAAAGAAGGGCATTGCATTTTTAATTTCAGAGAAAGTGGAACAATTTTTTCAGTATTCCTAGAGGAACACCCCCCCAACTGACATTTTCAGGATAACTTTTTCTTGCAAAATTATTTTTGATTGATGAAAGTGCCTTTTTTATTTGTTTAATTTTCTTCTTGCTAATATTAAAATTTATTTATATACTTACATAAGCATCATAGTATTAAAATCAAAGCAGATAAGCAGGGCTTTTCACTCCAACATGGTCAAAATAGATCTTGTCACTTCTTCTTTAAAGAACAAGATTTCATTTCCAGAAAAAATATTCATGGGACAGCCTCCAGCACCATGTGGTTCCTCACTACAAGAAAGACAAGGACCTACTGGAGAAGGTCTAGTGGAGAGCTAGAAGAATGATTAGGGGTCTGGAGCATCTCTCTTATGAGGAAAGATTGAGGAAGCTGTGCATGTTTAGTCTAGAGAAGACTGAGAGGGGATCTCATTAGTGCATCAAAACAGCTCAAAGGCAGGTGTCAAAAGGATGGTGCCAGCGACAGGATGAGGAGCAATGGCCATAAACTAAAATATACGAAATTTCACCTCAACATGAGGAAGAACTTTACATTGAGGGTGGCAGAGCACAGGAACAGGCTGCCCAGGGAGGTCACAGAGTCTCCCTGTCTGGAGACATTCCAACCCCCCCCGGACAAGTTCCTGTGTCACCTGCTGTAGGTGACCCTGCCTCGGCAGGGGGGTTGGACCAGATGATCTCCAGAGGTCCCTTCCAACCCTAATGGTTCTGTTAACTTCATTAACAAACACCCTTGCTAAAAAAGCGTTAAGAACGTCATTCAGGAAATACGAGAACGCGGAACCTTCTCGACGCGCTCGCTGTTCGCCTGCTGGAACAGACCACGGGGGGGCGAGAACGGCTCATGTAGTAGGAGACGCTGGCAGGGCCGAGGGGCCGGGGCGTGAGGGGAGCCAAGCGGGGCACTGCGGGCTGGTCCCTGCGGCCGGCAGCCGGGAGGTGGCGGTGGAGCCCGGCAGCGAGACCGGGAGGTGGCGGTGGGTCGGCGCTGCTCCAGGGAAGCAGACGCAGGCGCGGGCCGTAGCCGCTCCCCGCCCGGCCACGGCTCCGACGCAGCCGGGCCCCCTCACAGTCTTCCGGGGCTGGCCGGGCGGGGCCACTTCCTTCCGCTTTCTCCGGCGGCCCGAGAAAGGTAAGCGCTGCTTGGGACCGGTGGAGCGCTGTCCTCCTGCTTTCTCTGCCGGAGGGGCTGAGCTCCGCGGGGCCAGATTTCTCCGGCGTCGCGGCGGGGGCAGGCCGGGGTGTGTCTCTCGACAGCCGGCCCGGGGCAGGCGACGGCTCATGTGGGGCATTTCCTGCCAGCGCCGGGCCCCTCGCCCCTTGTCCCAGCGCCGGGGACGGGCCCCCTCAATTCAGAAAGGACACTGAGGTGCTGCAGCGTGTCCAAAGAAGGGGAACGAGGCTGGTGAGGGGACTAGAGCACAAGTCCTGTGAGGAGCGGCTGAGCGAGCTTAGATCGTTCAACCTGGAGAAGAGGAGGCTCAGGGGAGACTTTATCGCTCTCTACAACTACCTGAAAGGAGGCTGCAGCCAGGTGGGGCTTGGCCTCTTCTCCCAGGCAACTAGTGACAGGACAAGAGGAAATGGCCTCAAGCTGCGCCAGGAGAGGTTTAGGTTGGACGTCAGGAAGAACTTCTCCACGGAAAGGGTGATTAGACATTGGAATGGGCTGCCCGGGGAGGTGGCTGAGTCACCATCCCTGGAGGTGTTTAAGGAAGGACTGGACGGGGCACTTGGTGCCGTGGTCTAGTTGATATGTTGGTGATCAGTCAAAGGTTGGACTCGATGATCTCAGAGGTCTTTTCCAACCTAAATGATTCTGTGATGCAGTGAAAGCAATACCCTGTGCTGGCCGGGTGTGCTGTACCCAGGGTGAGGGCACTGAGCAGCTGCTGTGGAGGCACGGCCAGACAAATGTGGAGCGTTCCTCTGCTCCCTGCTGTGGGCACAGGTGCTGGTAGGGAGCTTTTCGTTGAAGACCTAGTGCAGCTGCTCTATAGACTCTCATTGAAATAAGAGCCTGGATTTAAAACAAAGAGCCAGTTCAGAGGGGTGTGAAACATCATGGTGAATCTTCCCCCGTTCTTCACAACGGACACAGTCCTCAAAGCGCCTTTCTGAAGTCCTGATGAGCTGTCTCAGTGATGAGTGGTGCTTGCCTTGGGCAGATGTCCAGTGTTCACTGCAGATCACAGGCCGCTGCAGGGACCAGTTAACACATGCAGTTTTGGCTCCCACCTTCTCTCCCAAGTAACCCTATTACGTCATCACCATTCCTGTTTGGAAGGAGGGGTCTTGTTGTAAACGGAGTATGTGAAGTTGACAATTCTCACACTTGAAAAACTTAGCTATCTTCTTGGATACTGCTTCTTTATCATGCAGTTAGAAGTACTGAAACCATGAGATCTTTCAGGAGCCTGATATTAGCCTTTTCTTCTGTAGATGAATAAATGATCCATAGGTATTTCAGTTAAACAGAAGAATAACATCTTTGAGAATTCTTCTTAAGGCAGCTAAGAGAATATACAGTTAATTGTTACCCTAAGAATTACATATGTACGTTGAGAAAACAGTAATAAGTATTACAGAAAATTACAAGAAAGCTACATTTCTTTAGTAGGTTAATGCAAATAAAGTTATTTTTTGGGATGACGGTTGTCTTTCCGAGACATAGGGCCTCAAAATACTGGAACACTTTTACATTCCTCAGTCTACTAAGTATGAATATTAATAATTCAGTTACATAGTATTTTGATGACCTTAACTTTGTCTCTTTGTTTCATTCTTGCCAGTGTAGCTTTCAGCTTTCATCCCATGTGGGAGATGTACCAGGAGGCTGCTTAAAGGGCTAAATATTTTTGAGATTCTTTGTTATGTTGAAGCAGTAGCGTAGTTGAATAACTTATGATTCAGGAGAAATGTATGCTGAAGACAATACAGGAGGTAAATGGCAAGCTGCAAATTTTTATAATCTTAGCTTATACTCCTTTGTTTTTTTCTTTTGGCTTATTTTATTTATTTTTCTCCAGTGACTCAGCTTTTTTATCCTTGTGAAAAAGATAAGCACTTTAAATCTATTGCAGCAATTAGAAACTGTTTCCAGTGATTATTTTTATGCAGCCATCTACACAAGTAGGTTTTGTGAGTAGATAAGAAAGCAAATAAGAATAAAAAAATTTGATTGATCTTTGGTTGACACAAACCTCTTTAAAGTTTTATGCATTTTTCTCATCTTCTATGTCCTTTTTTTGCGTTAAGTGACGAGAGACTGATGGAAATTAAATTGCTCTCAGATTGAGGCAGACAATGTAGAGCTGTGAGCTTTCCTGATGTTATGTCTATTTTCAAACCTAAGTTTTTTCAAAGACACGGTGGTCACTGTCACTTTTGCAAGTATCTGAGAATAAAGTGAAAATTGGTGTGAATGCAATAGTTAATTGACTTTTTTTTTACCAAGGGAAGAGAGGAGGTAGTGTTGCTTCTGTTCCATTATTTAAGCTTTGCTGTCTGAATATATAGTGTGTGTGAAGCAGACATTGTTTGAACTTTATAGCTGTGTAACTGACTCCAAGATAAGTGCAGAAAGTGGTTTATATGGTAATATTATGAATGCAAAAAACCCCTAGCTTATTAAATTATTGCTTACCTTTTCTGTTTAACTCTGCCCTTCACAGTCACTTTAGCCTTGCTCAGTGCCACCATTCTCAGAGAGTACTTTTGGGAAAGCAGCAGTGCCCTATATGTTGATAAATAAAATGCCAGACCATGCAGCAAAGTGCTAGGTAAAAATCACAGTTTAGAAATAAATGGGATTCCTTCTTGCTTTTCCCTAGTATCCCAATTCTCAGGCATGGAAGACTGCAACTCTAAAACTCTTTGGAATCTATTTATGCTTCTAGATTAATTTTTTTTAAGGGTGTTTGTAGCTGGATAGTGTTTTTTGGAAAAATGCAAATGTGGTTTGCCATAAGCTTGCTTTGTGGGTCCTGTGTAATCCAGACTTTAGATGACAGCAGTGAGGATTGAAGCAGTGCAGTAATTCCGGACAGCACACTAAAGAAGCTATTTTTTGACCTGCAATAAAAATTAGAAAGGTTTTTGATGACTTGCTCACATTTATTCTCATTTCTCTATCACCAAGCATGCTGTGTTAGGTCATGACTCAGCATGTTTGAGTTGGGTTACACAGAACTCTGTGTTGCTGATAAGTGAGTGAACTGCATATCAGGTGACTGTATGTTCTCTGCTATCAAAAATACACTCCTTTCAACTTCGTCATTTTTATTTCTAGATGAACATTGAACTTATAGTATCAGTATGATAGTTTGTTCTTTTACCTTTGTACATAGCAGAAAGAGAAGTAGCCGAGCATAAAACGCGGAGCTTCTGGTGAACAAGGAGTACAAGGAAAGAGACAATGTCTTCTGAAGCAGTCCAAGAGAAAAGTCAGATACCTCCAATAAAGCAATCTAAGTGGGTAAGTTGGGTTTCCTCCCTTTTATTTTGATTCTATTGCTAGTGAATAACTGGGATTTTGCCTCAATTGCTTTTATTGAAGACAGAAACAGATGTCGGTTAGGTTAAGCATATAAATGAAGAGAAGAAGGGCTATGTGTTATTTTTCCAGGTTCAGTATGCTCAGAGGGATAGGAGTTTTGAGTCTTAAGGTTAAGGCCCTGATTTATGCTATGTTAGTTAAACTAGTTATGAACTGGCAGAGCCGTAGTGTGTGAGTACAGGGCCAGTATAACCCGTCCCCATCAAGCTGTGCATGTGTGTGTCTGAGTATTCAGAAGGGGAGAAGGGAACAGTACTGCACAAAAATCTGCCCTCCAGCTGTACAGAAGATGAGCATTTTCCTCCGATGGAGAAATCGAGGAATTAATATGTGGTATGACCTTGTTGCTAATCAGTCTTTACCAGAGGGCAGCAAAAGTGGTTGTTTTTTTTTTCTGCAAGGAAAGGTGACCTTGGCGTCATGAGTGACAGCAAGGCAGCAAGGGCTGGGACCTCAGAGATAAGGAGCGCAGTCCCACAGTACCCAAAATAGAGGAGGAGAGCAAATCCAATGATGTTGACCAGGGACAGCCTACAGTCAGTTCAGTGATTGGCAGGCCATTCCATAGGAATAAGGCAAGTCTTATGGTACGCCAGAAGATGAAGTTAGCAAGGCAAGGTAAGGATCTTCATGGTAAAGGGCCAGGTACAGGCCCTACAACACAGTTAGGGCTTATATGCAGCTCCTGAGCCAAAGGGCAGAGGCCTTGGGCAAAGCTTCTTGCAGTTCTTTCTCCCAGCTTTGCTGTTTTCACAGCAACCTGATTAAGTGTTACACAACTGTGCCAACTGTTAGGGCTGACTTTAAACCCAAGCAACTAAACCCCTGGCAGGGTGTGTATGCAGGCAGAAAGATTGCAAAGCCTGTTGGTGCACGTAGGGCCCTGACACTCATTTCCTTACCTTTCACTCAGCCTGTTTGGACTTTACTCTATTTGCTGTGACTTTGCTCTGAAACCAGTTGGGAGTGGTTCTCTACGGTCTGGGGTGGAGTCATTTCTGTACTGTTTATCCAAGCAGAACTACCATTAACTTCCATAGGAGCAGTGCTTGAAGAAGGACTGAGATATTAATTAGCTAAAATATGAAACCCGTGGTTGTGGCCAATAAATGCATTTCATTATTATGGTTACAAAATCATGGATCAGTCAGGCATAAAATGAGATAGAATCTTGTAAGAGATGAATGTGCCCTTTTTCCCAAGGCACTGCTTGTTCTGTGATGTTTGCTTTCAGGAAAAAGTGTGTTTGTAGATGTGATGTTTTTACAGAAAAATGTTAAAATTTCAATTAATTTTAACTTAATGACAACTCCTTCTTTCCCCAGCTTTTTTTGCTGAGCACATCATAAGATATGAAATATCCCTTGGGTCAGTTGGGGTCCACTGTCCCAGCTGTGTCCCCTCCCAAATTCTTGTGCACCCCCAGCCCATTTGCTGGTGGGGCAGCCTGAGAAACAGAAGAGGTCTTCACTCTGCGTAAGCATTGCTCAGCAGTAGCTAAGACAACCCTATATTACCAGCACTGGTTTGGTCAAATCCAAAACCTAGCACCATACCAGTTACTATGGAGAAAATAAACTCTTTCCCAGTCCAAACCAGTACACCCATATGTTTCAGATGTCCAGTAATGATACTGCAAGTGCTAACACTCATAACCGAGTCTTTTCTTAAAGAAAAATAATCTACTTCTACCTGCATGTCAATACCCTGGATGGCAGAATGCAGGAGAGAATACTGGCACTTTTTTCTCACAATCAAAATGGGGAAAAGAAGAGCTACTGTTAACCTAAAAGGAGTCTGTTGGTGAGCTAATTATTATAAGGGTGAAGCCAGTGTAATTGAGTTCAGTTAATGCCATGAATACATTTAAACTGCTCAGAAAGTTCTGCAAGTGGGGAATCTGGTGGAGTTTATGTTGACCCTCTTCTGAATACTTGGAAAATCTGCTCTTACTGAACTTCAGTTGACTTCTGAAGTATGGGGCAGAATTTCATTTTTGGAAACTGCCACTCTGCCTTTATTTCCTGTCATTTCTTTCCCAGAAAGATGAGGTAGCTCATGAGAATGAAATGACTAGCAGAAATAAAGCAATATGCTTCTGGGGTAAGCAGCAGCTGAGCTATTTTAGGAAAACAGACCAACAGGGTGAGTGGTTTTAACATAAAACCTGTGTAGTTCTTTCTGTGTCTGTATTGGGGTATCAAGTATTTCATCACACTGCCTAGAACAGAATAAGGAGTTTTGCTTGGTTGGTTGTTTTTTGCATTGTATTGTATTTGGGTTTTTTAAAATAATTTATCTTCTTTATTTTTTTTTTCTTCCTGAGCAATTAAGTTCAGTAAACTAATCCAGGTTTATGCTTTCAGCCAATGTTCTTTTGCCCCACCTCCCAAATTCAAGATGCTGGAGAATTTGCAAGGATCCGTAAGGAATGCAAACAGGAAAGTTTCTGGTACAGAGGTGGGTGATCCAAAGTTATTCTTACCACACTGAGAATGACTTGATGTACATATGCAAAACTGACTGCAAAATGCTTTTTTATCAGAATATTGTTGTGGGCTAACTCTGTTAGGTTAAGTTAAGCATTGTGTTATTATAGAGTTAATGGAATTATTTGCATAATCATTGTAAGTAAGGGTGGTTGAATTAAACTCTTGTTTAATATGAACTTTCTTTAACAATTGTAGAGTTAGTTCTATTCTTGAGGTCCATTAATACAACCACCTTAGGAATGTTTTACTTTGTTATGTACTTGTTCTTGCCTTTGAATGGAAGGCAGGCATGGCTATGTGTCTTGGATTTGTGACATTCTTCAGGTATTAGGACATCTGAAAGATTAGTTACTCAGTGTTTTAGTGCCTTTTAAGTCCACCACGTCAGTTTGTATCTAAATTACATATTTTCTGAATGGAGAATATTGAAAAGGATTTCAGCATTTCATCGGCGCTGCTGACATTTCTAGTGCTGCAGTAGTGAGAGGAGTTATTCAGATTATGGAAACTATTATTTAATAAGTATACATAATGCATTAGCTCCAGATGTTACAACATGGCTGATGTCTGGCACTGTGTGAGCACATTCTTGCTTTGAAGAGAATGTAATCTGAATGAACATATGTAATAAGTGATTAGGACAGTAGGCAAAGTTAATGTAATGTGTTTAACATTAGAAACATATAAAACATGTAACGTATAAGAGAGTAAAGTATTTACCAAATACAAATTTTGGCTGATACCAGCTACTCACCTCCTTTTTATTTTCACAGCTCTTCCTTTGTCTCTCGGGAGCATGCTTGTCACCCAGGGGCTAATCTCAAAAGGTAAAGATAAAAAAGTACATTATTAAAGTGCTGTTTTTCAAGATCAATATTCCTCTTACTCATCACCATCATTGTTAGAGTGATTTGATCATTATATATGCGTTGCCACAGTCATTCTTTTGAAAGAGCATGAACTGAAAACTGAATTCGCAAATCCAAAGACTGGTGGCTGGATTCTGTCACCATGATCACATGCATTTGAGTAGAGTCTTCACTGGGGCAAATTGTAGGACAGGTTATTGTACAGCCTGAGCAGAGGCATCAGAATCAGTACTGTAGCTCTAACTGTTGGCTTTATTGAAAAATGCTGGCAATATTCTTACAGTGACCATGTACCAATATGACTATGAAAAAACAAGTCTGAACGAACACTTCTCTGTCCTTTAGCGCAGTCCTAATCGTGGCCTGCAGGGGGCGCTGTTGGGTCGCTGGAGGTGCAGGGCCTGCAGTTCTCAGTGTTGGCCTGCAGGGGGCGCTGTTGGACTCTGGGTGCCACCACGCGGGGAGGGGTCTGGGGGTGGTCTCGGGTCGCGGGAGAAGCCGAAAGGAAAATGGGGACCCTCCCCCCAATGGGAGAAGGGGGAAAGGAAAACAGTCCACCCCCCACGGAACTCACTGTTGAGATGGTGTCTCAAGGCTCCTCCTTTTCTCCAAGTGAGCACACAACTCTCCGATGAAAACCCAGTAGGTCCCGGCTGGAGTCACGAGGCCGCGTGCGAGCCGACCGAGGCCGGTGGTCAGGCCTCACCAGGACGAAAAGCCAGAAAGACCGGCTTCCAGGCCTTTTCTCCAAAAATGCCCGCACAAAGATCCCCATCTCGGTCC